TGCACAGCCCAGTGGGAAGGGGGGCCAGAGTCACACGGAGTTTTTGCAAATGGCTTCTTTGAAGTTGTGTGTATTTGTCTCTCCAGCACATGGTATTAGGACAATACATTTTCCCTGTGGAGAAAACATTATCAGGTAGCTCATTCCACTGTCTCAATATACACAAGCTTTTCTCATTTTTGTTTTCATGTTACATGTTTCTATTTGAATTTTGTATTACATTTATAATCAACAGAAAAAATATTTCTTAAAATCTACCAAAAATAGTGTTATCTTTTGACAGTCTCTGGAGAATGTCTGTATACTGCTAATGGGATTTTTTTTAAGCAGCCTTTTAAATCTTTTTCTAAAAAGCTTTATTTTATAGGAGACTTTCACTGTTTATTTTTTATTTTTTGTATAAAAGGTTACATCTTTGGAACATAATATAGGTCACTACTTGGGTGGGTGAGTGGGAGTATATAGGTTACAATGTAGTATTTGTGGGGCGGGGCACTAGGAGGAGACACTATTTGGAATCTCATTAGAAACGATTTAAAAGGCTTAACTTTAAAAAAATTATTGATGGATTTGAGAGACAGAGAGAAAGGGTAAATAGAGAGAAACATCAACTTGTTCCACTTATTTATGCATTATTGTTTGCTTCTTGTATGTGCCCTGACTGGGGATCGAACCTGCAACCTTGGTGCATTGGGATAACACTATCACCAACTGAGCTGCTACCTGACCAGGGCAAAGGCTTTAACTTTTGACACCCAACTAATAAAGACTCTGGCTTAACTTAGCCTTTCTGATGTTCCAGAAAGTTAACTACAAGTAGATAGGTGTTCTGAGGTTAATATTCTTCAGTTTTGAGGTGTTTTTTTTTTTTTAAATGACATTGCCACTGAGTAATCTTCCTAAATTTCCACATTAAAAGCCTTTCTATTTCTAAATAAAATCAAAAGCTTTTAACATTAAAAATCGGATGCATGTTTATGAAAGACTTGCCCTCATCCTTGATATTGTAACATAGTGCAGCATGTAGCTTATACAGTGGCTGCTTTCGAGTTTTCGAAGATACACAGAGGGTCTTTTAATGCTATAAATTGTACAAAAACTTAAAGATTTACTGACCAGCTTTAGGTGCAATAAAATACTAGAGCTCTATCCTGAATTAGAGGAGGAAGCAAAGACCTAAAAGAACCAGTTCCTCCTCCCAAGATCCTCGAGTCTTTCCTTGGGGCACAGCACCATGTACCATGCTCCTGCAAATAGAAGGGGCTAGACATACATTTTTATACAACTACTGAATAACCTGAAATAATTTTATTTCTCCTTATCATACACAGCATTAGAGACTACCATTCAGCAATTTGAAGAAAAATGGCAGCAGACGAAGCAAGAGATTGAGCTACTTCAGGACTTAAAACAAACGTTGCGCTCTGTTCAAGAAAACAGACCAAGGTCAAATTGTGCTTCAGCATCTTCGTCTCCTTTAAGAGTTACCTTTTCCTAAGCCAAAAATTGGGCATAGTTGCAAGCAGGCTGAGCACTAGAGCCGGGCTGTGAAAGCCACTCATCTCTAGCACAAGGTCTCGTGTCTCTCCAGTCTGCATGCTTTGATCCTCACCAGCTCAAACCGGTACATGCCCAACCGGGTATTTACTGCCTCCCTCTTATTATCTCACTTCTGCCTCTTCTCTCTGACAAAATGTTTCTCAGGTTCTACTTCAGTAAATTGGATCAACCTCCCATATCTCCCAACCTGTGAACTAAACCCTTCCCTGCTTCCGCGGACACATGCCCCCCCCCCCCCCCCACACACACTCCAGTGATCGTCAGCGGTCACCAACCTTTTGGACCTCAGGGGCCACCAGTGTCTGCAGACCGCCAGTTGGCGACCACTGATCTGGGTTGTTCCAGTAACACACCAGGTGCCCCTAGCCCCAGGGCCGTGTGCATATCCTGTTGTGAAGTCTTAGCCGCTCTTTTGCCTTCTTCCTACTGCTCCCTCTGCAGATCTTATCACACAGGGTCTCCCACTCACTCCATCTGAGAGTGCTTTTCCTTCATACCCCTCCCAGTATCACCCACTGTGTCCCACCCCACCCTGGTGGAGGGTAGGTTCTGAGGGCAGGAACTCCTGTTCTGTTTGCTTCCCGCATGCTCCATAAATGTTCAATGAATACATACACGGTTTTTATCTTTTGAGACTATTTTTAGCCCATAATGCCTCTTAGATATAATAAATTTGAATATTTTATCTTATTTGTACCAAATTTGCCTGTTGTCTTGTCACAAAGTCTGCTTTTTAAATTTATTTTCAGCGACGGTCAACACATGGACATACATCATCTTCAAAATAAATATTGAAATTTAATATTGGACTCTGAATAAGAATATCAGTGAGAATATGCAAGGATGAAAAAAAAATGATAGTTATGATTTTTCTCAACCTTACATTCACATTTCTGATTTTTTACTATAGTATCCTAATTCACAATAATGCTACTTTTCTTATTATTGTTAATTCTCATCCAAGGTATTTTCCATTGATTTCTTAGAGTGGAAGGGAGGGGGAGAAACAGAGAGAGAAACATCCATGCGAGAGAGAGAGAGAGAGAGAGAGAGAGAGAGAGAGAGAGAGAGAGAGAGAGAGGGGGGGGGGGGGGGGGGGAGAGAGAGAGAGACATCAATTGGTTGCCTCCCACATGCACCCTGATCAGAGCCAAGCTGCAAATGAGGTATGCCCATGACCAGAATTGAACGCAGGAGACTATATCCACTGAGCCAGATTGGCCAGGGCATTAATGCTACATTTCAAAATGAGTTTGATCTAAGTCTCAGCATGATGCCTGGAATGAAATAAGTACTCAAAAAATATCTGTTCAGAGAATACGATGTAGGCGAAAGAGAATGGGTCCATACCTGTTGTAAAGACAAACCTAGTCCACGTCATTCTTACCTGAGGGACAAAACCAAAGCCAGCGGTTTTCAAACCTGCACATCAGAATCACTGGGGGACTTAAACTAATAGCCAAGACTCCATACCAGGCCCATTGCATCAAGTTTCCCCTGGTCTACATGGCAACTAACTCCGCTTCTGCCCCTGATAAAGCAGCGCACTAACAATCCCTCTTTTGGAAAAACTGCTCTTCGAAACTGCTATTTTAGAGTTCTGCTCTTTTTGCTGCCCCTCTGCTATTTTCAGACTATAAAATAACTTTGTTTTTTTGCTTGAATAGAAAAGATAAACTTAAGTGTCTGACCTTGCAAGCTAGCCAATCTAACATAAGGAACTGATACGCTGATATTGATGCCAGGTGCCTGTATAGATATGATACTCAAGGTTACAGGTGTCTGTAAAGATATGACAGGTTTGCTATATATGATATATACTCAAGGTTATAAGCTATCTACAAAAATAACTTACACAGCCGAAACCGGTTTGGCTCAGTGGTAGAGCGTCGGTCTGCGGACTGAAGGGTCCCAGGTTCTATTCCAGTCAGGGGCATGTACATTGGTTGTGGGCACATCCCTGGTAGGGGGTGTGCAAGAGGCAGCTGGTTGGTGTTTCTCTCTCATCAACGTTTCTAGCTCTCTATCTCTCTCCCTTCCTCTCTGTAAAAAAATCAATAAAATATATATTAAAAAAAAAGAAAGAAAATAAGCCTATTTTCAATTTAAAAAAAATAACTTACACAAAGAACTAGAAGGCTATCAAAAATAAATACTCCCGTGTTCAGGATTCGCCAGAGGTAACCTGCTCTGAGCCTGCGCTGCACGCAGTAAGGATGACGCCTACCTGACTGCCTCCTTAAGGCTCTTGTCCAGCTCGCGGATTTGCGATGCAACAACACTGCATCCTATAGCAAAGCTTATCGGAGTAATCGTTTTGACTTCATGGTCTTTATTTTACAGAAAACCTCTGCTCCCCCACCTTTATTTAATCTGTCATACACAAGATTACTTTGGCGCAACGCAGCGTGTGTTTTGCAGTCATGAAGTAAGCAAATGTCAGGCAAACCTAGACCGGGTTTTGGTTAAAGTACTGAAAAACTTTAACCAAATTGTTTAATCTATCTCAGCCCAATCCCGCCTACCTTATGGTACAAAATGTGGGCATGAAAAAAAATGTATGTGCAGCACAGGGCATGCTGCTTGGCACCGTGGGAAATACATGTTCTCACACACACACACATGTCCTCCCCTTGCCAGCACTTCCACCCATCAGCCCTGGCTTTTCTCCATCTACTCAACCAGACTTGCTTATGTCAGGCTCCGGAAGGCTCCTCCGCTCCCACCTGTAAGCCTTGGCTTGTGCCATTTGACATTAAGTCTCTCAGGTTTTCTCTATCACGAAAAGCTGTTTGTTTACAGATATGTTATTGTGTTCACTCCTAAACCTTTCCTATAATGTATACTTTCCCAGAGGGCAGGGACTATTTATGTCTTTTCCTTCGCTCATAAGTACCCCAAAGGATTCAGATATACTTTTCTGTTGTGACAGCTCAACTGTATTATCTTTCAGCAGGAATAAAATCAAAAGGATTTCTATGGGGGTTTGTGTACAGTTAAGCAGCTGACACATGTTCATGATGGTATCTATTTTTAGCCTGATACCTGTTTTTTTAAGTTGTTGCAAATTATGTGTAAAACCATGTTAACTATGTTTAAGTGCACAGTTCTGTAGCATCAAGTACATCCACACTGTTTGCTACCCCCACCACGGTCCATCCACAGGACTCTTCACCTAGCACAACTGCAACTCTGTGACTGACTCCCCATTTCCTCCTCCCGGAGCCCCTAGCAACCACAAACTACTCTGTCTCCGACAGTGACCAGGTACGTCTCATAAGTGGAATCACACAGTCTTTGTCCGCTGGTGACTGGCTTGTTGAAACTAGCGTAATGTCTTCAAGGTTCATCCAAGTTGCGGCATGTGTCAGAATTCCCTTTCTTTTTACGGCTGCATAGTTCTGATTTTTGAGGGGAGCGGTGGAGCAACTACATGCCTCTTAACAGACAACTTTATTAATATGTCATTCTACACATTACATAAATACAACCTACACATTAGAATATCAAACACTGTTCCAGTAAAAAGATCAACAGAACATTTAGGGCTATTTTAGGAAATATGAATACTTTGGCTTTCATTATTACATCAGATGAAAAAAGCAATTCAAAGAATAGTTTTTATCTCTATGATTAACAACAAAACCAAGTAGAAAAATAAGTATATTTTTTTAAAAAGATACTCAAACAATTTTGAGGAACTTATTCCTGTTCTCTTCACTACATACAAACTCACACAAATTAATAATATGAGAAGTGGTTCTTCACAAATATTTGTTCAATTTATGAACCGTGTATGGAAATGGACCTACTTTAATTTGTGCTTTTCATAGTCCTTTTTTCAAGTAAGAGCAATAGTAAACATACTGAAGTTCATGTTTTGTCCAGATCAAAATAAGCCTAGAGAAGAGTGATTGTTACAAACACTATCCATCCTAATTAATATAAGAAAAGTTCTATCATGATACAAAACTAATTCTAACCTAATCACTGGACTTCAATCACTAGCAACATGGTCAAGAAAAGGAGGCTGGGACTTCTAGATTTGTATATATTTACCTGCCAATGAATGTCTAGTGTCGGGTCCTCCCTGCTATACAAGCACTTATAAACACGGCTAAAAATAACAGCCGCACATCTCTTCACCCTCTTGCTAATTTGGATCTGAAAATGTATTTAGGCTCCAAGTTCAGAAGGGAGGACCTTCTAGGCAGGAAACAATTTCCTAAGAGAACTCTCACAAATAAAAATGAATCTGTGGATTGGAGGGCAGAGCAGAGGGTTGTTTTTAAAGCAAATTCAACTAATATGACAAAACTCTTCATAACCAGACCCCCAAATCACACTTCATAACCAGACCCCCAAAAACAAAACAAAAAATCCCATAAGTTTGATCCTTTTTTAAGGTCCAATTGTGCTAAATATTAGACCTGACACAATTAAACGGAGAGGAAAACCAAAGGTAAAAGCTGGCGAAGTTTCAAATAAACAAATTGGTGATGGATTTGGCTTAGGTGAGAGAGAAAAACCAATTCCATTAAACCCTGTGAGGTGCTTTTAAGAACCTTTTCTTTGAGTCATAGGTAGCAGAACTGATGACTTAGCAAGCCACAATTTAGGAAGGCAAGAGTATACTGAGTATATCATTTTTGTAGAGGAAAAAGTGTATATGGAGGAGGGGGCAATTTAAACTCAAGTTCTCAAATATTTTCTTAATAAAATAAAACATCGTTAAATAGTAGTGGAGATCCCAATTTATAAAAGATTCACCTTTGTCCAAGTTTCTTTCATTATCAACTTTTCACAGACAGTTCTAAATTACTAATCTTTATGTGCTTAAGTCTTAAGAGAAAGCTTGACTAATCTATAAGTTTATTTTTACATAATTATCATTTCAATATTTAACTCATATTAAATTCAGTATTATTTTCATACACCATGAAGTTAAGAAAGTCCATCAATAGTGCAAACACAAAACTAAAAGCCTGAAAATATCTCCGCTAATCCTTCACAGTAAGGCAGTTAAACTAACAACACAGCAATTCAATAAGCCCCAAAGTCAGCATCTTTAATTCATAGCGGGGCCTGTATGTCTCACTCACAATTCACAAACTACCCCCACCCCTAGTGTCAAACAGATTGTTGATACCTTAGCCAGGAGAGGTGCCACAAACTTCCCCTTTCCAAGTTCATAAATTCCTCTAAACAACCAGCTAAACTTTCACCCTTTCCAGTGTTCCAGACAAACCGACAGTCACATTTAAAATATACCTGTCTGGAAACAAGAGTTGTTTAAAGTTCAGGAAAAGCTGTATATCCTTCATGTATTCCTAGCCGGAGAAGGGGTCTCAGATATGAAGAGACAGCCTGATGGGTTTACCTGCAGCACATCACCAGGAGCGCACAAAACACACCATCCCAGTGCCCAGGGCACTCACACTGACCCGCAGCCTTGGCTTCAGTTCTTAAAGGCTCCACATTTACTGGCTTTAGCAATGAATTCCTTTAGCAGAGGGCCATCCATTTGCCAAAATGCTGCAGTCTGTGTAACTTCTGTCAAATGATTGATGCAAAACTTAAAGCAGAATTCTTCTAAATCCTGGACACACACAACAAAAATAAAAACAAGAAGAGGCCTTTTTAAATTAACCTTGATTGAATAACTTCTCTCCAAACCATTCCCCTCCAAGTGCCTCCCCCTCCCCCAGAAAAGACAGCTGAGTCCAGAAACCTCAAATTAGGCAACAAGTGACCACAGGTAGGCGTCAGAAAAGCACGCTTACTCACAACTCAGTGACAGCAATGACTCCCTATCTCGTCTGAGTCTTCAAAACACACCCACGTGCACACACACAGCCCGTGAGGGAGTTTCCTCATGGTTATCACACAGTCTAGTCTTACTTGACGAAATGATTTTAAAAAGCTAATGCAACTTTAGTCCCTATCATATGTTTCTACACACTCAAGAAGTCAGAGAAAAGAATTAAGATATGGGTTATTTAATGAGAGACTATAAGAATTAGATTAGTGTTGAAGAAAGAGGTGTAGTCAACCTAAAGTGACACATTGAAAAAATTTCCAAGGACCTTAAATTCTCCTAAATACAAATGCCTTCAAGAATAATATACAACTTCCATCACACCAATTTCTTAGATGGTTAACAGAAAGAGTATTCAGAGATTGGATTTTCAGTCAGACAAACGGAAGTCACCAACCACCACCATTCCGGAAGGTAAACCAGAACCATTTAAAAATCGATTTCTGCCTAATACATTCTGTCAGCCCCAGCAAGACGCTAATGCTGTTTGTTCCTTTGTATGTTGGAACATATATTAAATCAATGAGGTACCAGGAATACATGCCAAGACTAAGTATATAAAAGCAATCCTACTAATAACTCATCACAAATAGCTTGATTTTTATCACTTGGCTGGATACTGTGAAGATACTCAGGGACTCAACATTTAAACGGTACAGTCTTGACTTCACGTTTCCAGTAACCATGAAATGAGAATTTTAGGCAAAATGGGGAAGGACTCACACAAACATGGACACACACCTCTTTCACTCTCTCAGTGCAGACCTCTCAAACAAAGGCCTTTTGTCTCCTCTCCAGGAATATAACCAGTAGGAGATAAACGCCATCTAATGTGGACTAGCCAGCCACTGGGAGAGTTTTCTAGATAATTCAAAATGCATTTAAAATATTAGCACAATCTCTGAATCCATATTTTTAATAAGAGATACCGAATGGGTTGAATCAACTTGCAACTGAATGCTCTGTGTATTATATTAAAATAAAATGCTAAACTATATAAAACATTCTCACGTTAATATTAAAGAAAAAGCACTACTCCTGGTATTTTATAACCCAGAGGTTAATAAATAGCTCCTAGTCTAGGGACTAAATTATTCCACAGGAAGGTAAGTTATACTCTGATTTTATTTATCAAAAATAGAAAACTAGTTTATCCATAACTTAGGAAGAAGTAGCCAGTCATGAGCAAGAAAGTTGTTCAAAACCATGTAATATATCAGATACGGATGTTTAAATATTAAGTTTTAGTTATATAACTTCAAATCGAAAGGGAAAGAAGCCCGGCCGTGCTACTCCGTGTTCCTCAGTGGGTGAGTGCTGGCCTGTGAACCAGGAGCTCACATCCGCTTCCCTGTCCCAGCACGTGCCCCGGACGGGAATGCAGGAGGCAGCAGATGGGTATTTCTCTCTCTCTCTTTCATCAATAGACACTTAAAAAAAAAAATGCAAGCTGTGCTTCTAATTACAAATCCATTCATATATCAATAAAAATAGTTCTATCAAACTGCCTTTGAATTGGTGAGATTTCTCAATATTCAACAAATGTTTAACACTTTCAAACAGAAGTCTAACCAGGGCCTGGTTGGTAGGGCTCCGTGGCTGGCGCACTGGTACCACGCACGGAAGGGTGGCAGGTTCAGTCCAGATTAAGAACACATTCTGGTACCAGCCCCCGGCCGGGAGAGAGCGGCAGGCAGCCTGCAGACACCTCTCCCTCCCTTCCCTCTCCCTCCCCCCTCCCCCCTCCCGCCTTGTCTACCTCCCTCCCCTCTACCTAAAAGCAATGGAAAAATATCCTCAGGTGAGACTTAAAAAGAAAATTCTAACTAGAGAATACTGAAAGTAATCTAAATATCCATTGTTTAAGAAACTAATTGAACCTTGGTGAAGGAAGATCTATGGAAAAGGAAGCATTGAAAGCACTTGGAAAGAGAAACTGGAATATGCAAATTCATTTGCATGAATCAGAGTGGCATAGCCAAGCAAATTAATTGAAAAAACCAATGCCCGGAACCAGTTTGCCTTAGATGTGTGAATTAGATAAACATCTTTCTGATAATTCTTAAATACTGTAAGAATCTACATGATCTGTTCAGAGCATTTTGCAAATGATCAGATCTCCAATTGCTTAGGAAAAAAAATGTGATTCATATATAATCAATATATCCTATCTAATAAAGAGGGAATATTGCTCGACTCATGCCATAGCAAGATGGATACACCCACAGCAGAGGGGGGATCCCGTAACACAAGACGGCTGTTCCCACAGTGGAAGCCGAGCAATCAGCAGGGACCTGAGCCTGCGTGGCCCTGGGCCCGGGCAGGGACCTGAGGCTGTGCCCCTGCCTGGTGCGGCTTCACAGGGAACTTCAGGATGCGACCCCACCGGGCAGGGCTTGACGGGGAACCTCAGGCCACACCCCCTGCACCAGCGCCAGACTGGGGGACCTCAGGCCGTAACCCCACCCCCCCACCCCCCGCCTGGTGGGGCTAGACAGGGGACCTTAGGACATGCTCCCTGCCCAGCAGGGCTTGACGGGGGAACTTCAGGGCACAACCCCCGCTGCCCTGGTGCCAGGCTGGAGAACCTCAGGCCACACCCCCCGCCCAGCGAGGCTTGACAGGGGCCTCAAGCCATGCCCCTGCCCCAGCCTGGGGACCTCAGGCCATGCCCCCTGCCCTGGCACTGGGCTGGGGGACCAGAGGCTGCCCCCCGCCCCGGGCGGGGCTTGATGGGGGAGCTGAGGCCGCACCACCCGCCCTGGCACCAGGCCAGGCGACCTGAGGACACGCACCCCACCCAGTGGGGTTTGATGAGGGTGGGCCGGCTGGGTATTGATCTAGCCCAGTGCGGGTGGGCCTGCTGGGGCTGGGTCTCCCAAAATTTGAAGGGCATGGGTGGGCGGGGACTTGACTCTAGTTCCTGTGGCACACTCCAGACTCTGACAGGAGGAAGGTTTTCATATACATTTTACTAATTTTCTTTCATCTCTGACACGTCTATTATAGAGAAAGGACAAATAGCAATATTAAATTATTTCCTCTAATTCCCTTTTAATGAGCACAAATTTCGTGCATTGGGTCACTGGTCAACTATAACAGGATTGCTGGGCTCTAAATAAAAGCTTTCCAAGAAGGACAAGGAGGACAGAATGAAAGAGTTTTCTCAAAGCCCATTGAGCAGGGAAGTGGGATATGCAAATCTAACATGGTATTATTATTAATGTTTTAGAACTTAAGTCCATGTTTATGACATCTTGTGGTGAGATTATTACAAAGGCAAATAGCGTAAAACATCAGATTTGTTGTAATTAGCAAGATCAAAATTAAAAACTGCTATACTGAAATAATTTGTAATTTCATTCCAAATTTTAAATATTTAATTATTTTAGTCACTATATTAGTACATATCAAACAAGTTGTTTTTCCTTCCTTCCCACAGATCTTTATTAGTAACAAAAAGAGAATGATGGTCTTAATATCATCTTAAAAATGTTTTATTTATGATTTTAAAGAGATAGACAGAGAGAAACAACAATTTGTTGTTCCACCTATTTGTACATTCACTGGTTGATTCTTGTATATGCCCTGACTGGGAATCGAACCTACAATCATGGCATATTGGCATGACGCTCCAACCAACTAACTGAGCTACCTAGCGAGGGCTTAATATCAACATCTTAAAAATGCAAATGTATTTGATGGAGTTATCCAGTCCTAACATACCCACACTAAAACAGCTGAATGCTCAGGCCTCCTGCGGAAGGGCACGGCCACGGTAAGAAAGCTGCCTTCCTGTCACAAGCCAACCTCACACACACGCAGATGACAAGAGATGGCAAACCATAACCAACTGTCCAAACTTGTTAAAATAATTGTCAAACAAAGCCTCTAACACGTATTTAGAATTCATTTTATACTATATCAAATACAAAATATTTCAGATTGAAGTTTTTTTTTTTTTTAAGAATGTATTTAAATATCGTGTCATATGGAAAAAATAGAGAAAGGCACTTTCTCTCATTATACCAAATCATATTTTACAGTCTACTGGTCATAGCTTATAATTTGGCCCTCAGAAAGAAGAAAAGAAAATGCTGACCATCTGATTTTAGCATAAAGTTTTCCAATACTCACATGCCAAACCACATTTGGAATTACATTTCTCGGCTCGTATTTATGGCTTCCCAACAAAAACAAAATTCTAAGATATAAGTTACTCAACAAGTAGGATTTTCTGGAAAATTCTCTAATCTTATTAAACAAATACTATTTCCCAACTGTTCCTCCTAAAGTTCAAATATAATAGAAAACAAAAATTTCCTAAAACATGATGAACAACATAAATTGATGAACAAAAACAGATCCAGAGACAAAGAAGCATCGATCAGACCGTCAAACCTCAGAGGGAAGGTAGGGGAGGGGAGGGGCAAGGGGAGAGATCAATCAAAGGACCTGTATGCATGCATATAAGCCTAAACAATTGACATGGACACCAGGGGAGTAGAGGCATGGGTGAGTGAGGGGAAAGTAATGGGGATGAGGACACATAAATAATACCTTAATCAATAAATTAAAATGCAAAAAAAAAAAATCCTGAAATAGTATAAACATTTCAATTTTTTTATAATGTGACCTCAAGACAATGTTTTACTCACATTTTCTCCCTTAATGTCAATATTTATTCAGATTTATGCTAGGGGAATACAAGTGCTCCTTTTCCAAGTCCTTCTTTACTACATAGAAAGTTTCATTCATAATGAAAGGACTCCACAATAGTTAATTTTAAAAACTCTTCATAAGTAGTGAGTCAATACATTTTTGTTGCTTTTATGTGTGCACATTTGCTTAAAGATTCTTTTGTCAAAGGGTGTTTGAAGGAACATATTTTCCATATTGAATGTGTTATAAAGTTTTTTAATAAGCACATCTTCATGATTACATGTTTCAAATACATTCATTCATGAGTTTAACTCAATGTATATTTTTAATACTAACTACAATACATGCCCATATTGTGGCAGACTCTGGGAGATCCCGTGCATTTGTGGTCTCAAATAATGGGTTTTATTTTTTATGTGTTTATAATTAATTGAGGAAAAAACTAGTCAGGGAAATGATCAGCTAACTTAAGACTTTTCTATAAACTTTCTGGGGTACATGTTAGCTAGAAGTGAGGAAGAAAGTTTCAGCAACTAGAGATGAAATGTTTGCCTCTGTCCAGATGGTTTTAGTCAGCAATATCACACCCCCGAAATGTGGAACTCATTAGCAATGGGGAGGAGTGTGGAGAGACACAGACAAGATTCTAAAATCAATCACAAAATGGAGAGGAAAGACACTAGCAATTTATAAAATCGGGTGGAAATTAAATCTAAGAAAATTTATTATAGCATGTCTAATAAAGAAGCTCATACTATCAGAGAAAGGGTAGGAGAAAAACTATACTTCCACTTTCTCTTAAAAATCCCTTTTGATTATTCCATCTGTTGAAAAGGCTAGAGAGAAAGTCAGCTATATTTGACCTTATCAAATATTTATAATAGTAACATAATCTCAAATAAAAATAGGACACATTTTGAAAGCACAAGACATAATGGTGCACTCTAATCCCTAAGTGTGATGGGGAGGAAGCTGTCCTCCGTCTCTCCACGGCCACAGCTGCAGATCCTTTCAGGGGTTCGGTCAATTCCCTGGTACCGGTATTCTGACTCCGAATATGATAACAGATTACTTATAATACTAAACAAATTGCGCCCTTTAGGGTGGAGATCTTAACTAGATATCATGAACTTCAAAGCTACTGATCTCTATATTCCCTGTGAATTTGTAACAGCAACCATACCATCCTTTAGTTCGTTAAGTGTCCCTAAAGCTCCCTTTGGGTGGTTCACAAACGTTTGTCACCCAGAGCCTCTGTGCCAGGCACCACCGGGGGCACCGATGAATAAGACCATTCCTGCTCGTGAGGAGCTACGGTTCTTCCCTTCCGGAAATCGCACATAAACACAAAACGTCAGACTCCCAAAGCCCTTTCACACTCATGAATCCTAAAATTAAGAATTCAACCCAGTGTAAATAAAAAATAGACAAAAAGGATTCCAGAGCAAGCTCTTAACACATGAATAACTGTGTTATTGTTAGACAATGGTAGAATTTCAGAACATATGCAGATATAAATCATATGGCATCCATGGCTTACGACAGGGTGGAGTGGGGAACAGCAAAGTGGCCTTGAAAGAAATACATATGCTGACCTTGAGGAAAACCTGAACTAAAATCTGTGGTTTGTTAGTCCAATTAGTGTGCACTTCATATTCCACCCAGCAGTACAGCTGCTGGGACCTCAATTTCTTATCTTAGAAAGAAAAAGAGAATAACAATTTTGAAACTAAGAACAGAAAAGAAAGCAGCAAGGCCTGATTTCATTGTTCGGGGATCAGTCACTTCACTGATTCCTAAGGAGAAAGGAGGTTACTCATCATGGTCCTTGTCAAAGTGAGAAAAAGACAGAAAGGGGCACACAGGGACTTAGGGGTGGCTCGAGTTTCTGTTTGTGGTTTTACATTACCTCTGCATCGTATCTGACTGCAGCAGAGAATAATGAGAAGGCATTCTCCACAGTGATTCCTTGCTTGATAATATGCTGACAAAGTTTTTTCAGTCTGTTTTCACAGTAAGATGTCGCCAAATCCAAAAGACCTAAAAGTTAAAAATAGAGCAGTTTTAATAAAGTTTACAATAATGTGCCATAATTTAAACATATATACATGCATACATATATGTATATGTACTTTCTTTTGTTTCTGGTACACAAAGTAATGTAGGTAAGTCAAAAGTTTCTTAGAAAATACTTAAATTTTATTAAGTTCTCTTTGTTACTCCTTACCTCCCCAACTCCCCAAACAAACCTCGCTTCTACTCATTTTATACAATTTCTTCTATAGTGTAGAGAAAGGCAAAAAAGGAAATTTTCCATTCATTTTGTTTCCAAAACAACATGTTAAATCCATTATCAAGTTATACTTCAGTATTAAAAAATTAAAATAATCCCACAAAATAATTTTGGACTAATTTAATGTCCAAAATTATTAACCACTAGTGGCCCAGTGCATGAAATTCATGCACGGGGTTGGGGGGCAGTACCTCAGCCCAGCCTGCACCCTTTCCAATCAGGGACCCCTTGGGGGATGTCCGACTGCAGGTTTAGGCCCAATGCTAAGCAATCAGATGTCCCTCTTGCAATCTGGGACCGCTGGCTCCTAAACTGCTCACCTGCCTGCCTGCCTGCCTGATAGCCCCTAACTGCCTCTGCCTGCCTGCAAAATTGCTCCTAACTGCCTTCTCCTGCCAGCCTGATTGCCCCTAACCACCCTCTGGCCTGATCTCGCCCCCAACTGCCCTACACTGCTGGCATGATTGCCCCTAACTGCCTCTGCCTTGACCCCCACAACCATGGCATTGTCTGAAAGGAAGTAACGTCTGAAAGATGGCTGGTTGACCCCGTCTAATTATCATATTTCCCTTTTATTAATATAGATTATATAGGATAGAATTGCTTAAATGAGAGGAAAAGCCTTTTTCTTCAGGAGGAGATGCTCTTGGCAGACAAAACTACATAATCCCTATCTTTGGACTGTCAGCCAGCCATATGCACTATACCGCCAAATTGGTCATTAAAAAATTGAATCGCTTTCTTACACCTTACACCAGTGGTAAGCAAACTCATTAGTCAACAGAGCCAAATATCATCAGTACGATTGAAATTTCTTTTGAGAGCCAAATTTTTTAAACTTAAACTTCTTCTAATGACACTTCTTTAAAATAGATTCAGCCAGGCCGCAGTATTTTGTGAAACAGCCACACTCAATGGGCAAAAGTTTGCCTTCCATGGCCTTACACTAAGGTGACCAGATGTCTCGCTTTTGGTGGGACAGTCCCAATTTTTAACAATTTGTCCAGCCAAAAGTGGGACGTCTGGTCACCTTACCTTACACCAAACAGCTGTGGCCCTTAAAACCACTTCTCAGCCCTCACCTTAGGTTCTGCCTTCACAGTTCACCCAGATTAGGTTCTGATTGGTTGGGTTCTATGCCAGTCAGCATCAAAAGCCTCCTAGGCAGCCATTGGTTCCATGCAGTTTACTCAGATTTGGTTCTGATTGGTCAGTTTCCATGACAGTCAATATCAAAATCTCTGCCTCCTAGGCAGCAATTGGCTCCTCGCAGTTCACCCAGATGTGGTTCTGATTTGGTCAGTTTCTATGCCAGTCAGTGTCTCTGGGCCTATATCCGGGTCTGATCAGAGAGGCAGGCCTGATCAACAGCCATCCCTGGCTGCTGGTTAGCAAGCTGAACTGCTGATCTCTCGGAGAGAGAGAAGCCCAGTTGCTGGCAAGACCACGAGAGAGAACAGCAGGGTCTGATCCACAGTTTCTCGCTCTCTCTCTTGGGGCCTCACCAGCAGCAGTGATAGCCACTGATCAGCCCCACTTCTCTCTCCCCCCGAGAGGTCAGCAGTTCAGCCCGCTCACCATTCCCCGCCCACCGGAGCCTGCTATGCATGCATCCTGGCATTCAGTTGAGCCTTGGGTCATTACAGGGTTTTTATATATTAGGATAACTATATAATATTAGGATAACTATATATCTTTATTTTTAAAGATATTTACTTCAAATATTTTTCAAAAGCTAATAAAGCTGAAACTCTTCATTTTTCAATACTATAAGAGGATGAGGAGCTATATTTCTGACCATGTGATGTGGCCATTCCAATGTGGCTGAGTACCTATAGCATCTTCAGGCGGCAGGTCCACCGTGTCCGTGTAGAGGAACTGAAGAAAGGCACGATACACTGGGTAAGAGAACTGGTCTATTTCTATCACTTCTTTCATGTCCTCATTCCAATAAGACTGAAACATGGATCGAAAGTGTTCACACCTAAAACGGGAGAGAGAAAGTCATTTCCGTTGATGGGTCAGATAAACAAATATCAGAGGCATCTTCACTACTATCACTAGTATATTTGGGTTCCACACACCAGGATCACGAATCTAGCTAGCACTCTAAAAAAATACTCAATGTGCAAGAACTTTTATATTTGCCCTTTATGCACACTTATTTTCATTTTTTAAAATCTTCAGTCAAGGATATGTTTTCATTGAAATTTGGAGAGAGGGAGGGAGAATGAAACATCAATGTGAGGGGGGAAACATCAACTGGTTGCCTCCGGTACACACCCTGACCAGGGGTCGAACTCACAACCTAGGTATGTGCCCTGACAAGGAATCAAACTCTCAACCTTTTGGTGTGTGGGACGATACTCCAGCCAACTGAGCCAGCTGGCCAGGGTATGACTCTCAGTTTTGATGAGTGCTTCCTATGAACTATTAAGAATTATATGTAGCCCGGCCGGCGTGGCTCAGTGATTGAGCATCGACCCATGAACCAGGAGGTCACATTTCGACTTTGGTCAGGGCACATGCCAGGGATTCGGGCTTGCTCCCCAGCAGGGAGCATGCAGGAGGCAACCCAATAAATGATTCTCATTTTTGATGTTTCTATCTCTCTCCCTCTCTCTCTCTGAATTCAATAAAAATATATTTTTAAAAATAATTCTATGTAGAGCCTAGGACTGCCTAGCACTTGTGCATTACTGCTGTTTCCATTTGACAGTCCCCATTCATATCAAGACATCTTGCTCACTTGTGTTTTTTTTAAATGTATATGAGCTCTAGCTTGTTTGGCTCAGTGGATAGAGCATTGGCCAGGGGACTGAAGGGTTCCAGGTTCGATTCCAGTCAAGGGCACATGCCTGGGTTGTGGGCTTGATCCCCAGTATGGGGTGTGCAGGAGGCAGCCAATCAATGAGTCTCTCTCATCATTGATGTTTCTATCTCTCCCTTCCTGCCTGAAATCAATAAAAATATTTTTTAAATGTATAGAAATACATTTTAAATAATGAAATTAAAGAAAATTTAAAAATGAGATTTCAAACATACCACTATAAAGTAGCACATTTAAATGATTCATTTGTGGTTTGGTTTTGTTTTTAATCCTCACCAGAAGATATTTTTTCCATTGATTTTTAGAGAGTGGGGGAGAGAGAGAAAGACAGAGAGAAATATTGATATGAGAGCACATTGACGGGCTGCCTCCTGCACAAGTCCTGACCAGGGTCCGAGCTGGCAAGGAGCATGTAAAAGAGGTTATGTGCCCTTGACTGAAACTGAAACTGGGAGCCTTCGGTCTACAGGCTGATGCTCTATCCACTGAGCCAATCTGGCTAGGCTGTTTATTTGTGGTTTTTAAATATTATTATTATACTCATTTTAAAAAAATGTAAGTCAAATTTATTGGGGTGACATTGGTTAATAGGATCATACAGGCTTCACGTGTGCATTTCTTTATTACAGGATCTGTATACCGCACTGTGTGCCCACTACCAAAGTCAAATCATCTTCTGTTACCAGGTATTTCCCTCCCCACTTCCATTTGGCAACCACCATGATGTTGTCTGTGTCTATGAGTTTCAGTTTTATATCCAAATATGAGTGAAATCATATAGTTCTTAGCTTTTTCTGCCTGACTTATTTCACTTAGCACAATACTAGTATTCTCAAGGTACATCCATGTGGTTACAAATGGCAGTACTTCATCTTTTCTTATGGCTGAGTAGCATTCTATAAAATATATGTACCACATCTTCCTTATCCAATCCTCTATTGTAAGACGCCTTAGCTATCTCCATGTCTTGGCCACCGAGAACACTGCTAATCAGAATATTCTCTTTTTTTTTTTTTTTTTTTAATATATTTTATTGATTTTGTACAGAGAGGAAGGGAGAGAGATAGAGAGTTAGAAACATCAATGAGAGAGAGTCATCGATCAGCTGCCTCTTGCACACCCCCTACTGGGGATATGCCCGCAACCAAGGTACATGCCCTTGACCGGAATCGAACCCAGGACCTTTCAGTCCCCAAGCTGACGCTCTATCCATTGAGCCAAACTGGTTTCAGCTAATCAGAATATCTTAAAACTGTTTTAAATGTTAACTGGATTGCATTTAAACTAATTATTGTTTCATTACCTTTTATTTCCTTCTCTTTCTGATTCGTCTTCAAAATAGTAGGCTACTACTCCTATTTTGTTTCTTTGCTTTGCCCCTTTCCTCTCTTTCCAAGCTGTTACCAATCTACACACACACACACACACACTCTCTGAGTGGCCAGATTATTATGTTCTCTGAATACATAATGTGGCCACTCAGAGCATATCCTATATAATAAAAGGCTAATATGCAAATTATCCCCTCAACCAGTTCGACCAGCAGGCAGGCCAGCCAACACACACACACACACACACACACACACACACACACACACACACACACACTAAGTGGCCAGATTATTATGTATTCAGAGACCATAATAATCTGGCCCCTCAGTGTAAAAGGCTGTGTCCATCTGTCCAACCAGCAGCTATGATGCGCACTGACCACCAGGGGGCAGATGTTCAATGCAGGAGCTGCCATGATGTGCACTGGCCATTTAAAAATAAATGACACCACTGGCACCAACACTCAGCTTCTCCCAAGTGGAACATAGGCCCTGCCACCTCCCCGAAGCAACGCCCACCAAGCCACAGCCAATGCTGCCAAGACCCCATGCGGCCCACTGCCTAGCTCAGCCTGGAAACAGTCACTGTGGGCGCCAGGTAATGACGTCACGTAATGCGTGGCTTCCTCTCCCTAGCGACTAGCCTCCTTGGAGTTTCTTCAGCCCAGGAACCCGACTTGCTTTATAGCCAGATGCCATGCAAACATTTTACAGTTTAACCAAATGTTTGTGAAGTGTTTTCCCGTGCCTCATCCCATTTGATCTTCACAGAAGTTCTGGAGTAGGTAGATAGGAGACTCGGTAGACGTGAATAGTGATATTAAAATATTTATTCTATAATGGTAAGATATGTACACATATAATACCTTAATTAAAAAAATAAAAATAAAAAAATAAAAATATTTCTTCTAATTAATTTCCTTCAGTGTGCATGAATCTGTGCACTTGGGCACTAACTTACTTATAGTCACATATTTCAAGAAAACCTAAGGGCTTCTTTTTGTATTGTATTAATATGTACAAATCTACCTGTAAATTCAGAAACTGATTTCTGAATATAGATTTTCTATAAAAGTATGACTTACTTTATAGGTTTCAAAAACCATCTTTTTAAATCCTTTTAAAATGAGATATATTATAAACACAAAATACTTTCAAAATCCATTCAGAATACTAAAAGAATGGCCATTTACCTTTAAAAAAATTATTTTATCTGAGAAGTAAAAAGAAATGGATATATAAGCAATGAATAATAGATGAAATGGGTCAGAAATCTATACATGAAAGGAATAGACTGGCTGTCCATAGGTTCACAGACATAAACACTTCCAGTTCATCTTTCAATTAATACTTTGGTGCAGATATTTACCCCTTAAGTAATGAATAATATGTGGACTTTTCAATTCCTTTTAACATGTTGTTTTGTAAATAGGTTTTTGACTAAGTTCACAAAAAGACGTGTAAGTGGCCAGTTTAATTCTCAGTAGACTGACTTTGCTTGTGCCTTTCTCTGTAAAGGCAGCCTTAGTGAGCAACAGTCCAACCAATCACTAATAAATATAAAGTTCCTTCACATTTATACCAAGAACTCCTGACATATAGCTAAACCACACTTCCTTAATTGAGAATTAGATGTCCCTTGAGCCAGAAGACCATCATTCCAAAGTTTTCTGCATGATAAAAATAAATTTTTAATTAAGAGCAAAAGGAGGTATATATATACACTTTCCTTGGCAATCTTTTATGGAGGCTTTTGACCATGTAAATAAGGTTTTTTGTTGTAAATAAATATTCACAAGATCCTTCATTTAAAAACAATTTAGACAGCGTGGCCAGGATTGCTCAGTGATTGAGCATAGTTGTCAACCAAGATGTCAACAGTTCGATTCCAGGTCAGGGCACATGCCCAGGTTGTGGGCTCAATCCAGGGGGCAGCTGATTGATGTTTCTCTCTCACTGATGTTTCTATCTCTCTATCCCTCTCCTTTCCTCTCTCTCTAAAAAAATCAATTAAAATATATTTATTAAAAAATATATAAACAAATACTTATACTCCTACATTATGCTTTTTAAAAAGGCCATGTGTGCACATACACACACATGTGCATGCAAAAGTCTTCAATAATGAGTGGATTGATAATATCTGCAAAAAGATTAAGTTGTGTCATTTCCCTCTATTGCCAAAGCTGTTTCTTAATAGTCCCCATTTTATGGAATAACAAGGGAATAGGTATTATAAAAAGAAAGTAAGGTTATTGATGTCTCAAGCTCATGCAAAAATACCTGATTTTCAAAACAGCTTTATGGACATGGATATATTTCCCATCAATTCTGAACTTTAGGTCAGCAGTTTCTGGGCTGTCAAATTCTTTCTTCAGGGACTCTGCAACTGTTAAAAAATCTTCATGCTCTGAAGGCAACAAACACATTATAAAGACAAAAAAACTCAGGAAACATACTCAACATTTAATAGACTTCAAAAAATAATCATTAACATGAGGGATAATTCCACTTGATTTTTTTCAAAAGAGATCATGCCTTACTTGACAAATCAATTTCACAGCATGAAAATAAGTGTCCAAGTGTATAAACTACAAAAAATACGTATTTGGTAAGATCAAATAGTACTAGTCTTACTTACTATTAGTCATCAGAAATGTATACTTTTTTTGAAAAAAGAAAAAGCTATTGTTAGTCCATGATTACATGACTACTTGGTCAAAACTTGAGTGACTCTCTCCTGAGACTAAAAACTTACCAATTTTCCTTGACAGGAATACTAAGAACACCTTTGCCCTGTTTTGGGATCGTTTCAAGGGGCTGCTATATTCTAATCAAAGAATCCCAAGAAACAAATTCACCATTACATGGTAATACTAAGCAGTCATGTTCTTACATAGAGAAAACCCTTTTCTTCAATATTTGAAATCTAAAGATCCCTCTTAACCACAAGAATGTACAAAAAATAAGAATTAATGTACAAATTAATTCTAAAAACAGAGTAAATTTACTTAATAACAATACATACTCAAAGGGAACAGTTTTACAAAAATGTGTTCTCATTGCCTGATGAGAAGAACTGCTGTTATGATTACAAGTAGATCTATTATTATGAAGAAAAAGAAGTAAAGGCACTTGTCCCAGCCAGAGTAGCTCAATGGTTGAGCGTTGACCCATGCACCACAAGGTCACTGGTTCAATTCTTGATCAGGGCATATGCCTGGGTTGCAGGCTCGATCTCCAATAGGGGGTGTGCTTGAGGGAGCAATCTATGTTTCTCTCTCATTGATGTTTTCATCTCTCTCCCTTCCTCTTTCTAAAATAAATTAAAATAAATAAGGGCAGAGACCTTCCCCCTCCCTTCAAAATCACCAAGCCCTCAGCCCCCTTCATCACCATTTGCCCCTCTTCAGGCCCCTCACCCCTGAAATAAAAGAAAAAAAAATGTAGCCGAAACCGGTTTGGCTCAGTGGTAGAGCGTCGGTCTGCGGACTGAAGGGTCCCGGGTTCGATTCCGGTCAAAGGCATGTACCTTGGTTGCGGGCATATCCCCGGTAGGGGGTGTGCAAGAGGCAGCTGGTCGATGTTTCTCTCTCATCGACGTTTCTAGCTCTCTATCTCTCTCTCTTCCTCTCTGTAAAAAATCAATAAAATATATTTATAAAAAAAAAATGTAAAGGCACTCAAACAAATCCATGTAACACTTTCTTGTGTTTTATATGCACGGACAAAGAAAAACAAGTAGAAGGCTAACAGGGACCTTCATCAGCACTGAATGCAGGTACAATGGACAGAGACAGTTTCTGACTGCCCACAAGATAAGAACCGTGACTTCATCAAATAACTGAGCTGTCTCTCAGGAGCCTGGTGTTACCAAGGGGATGCTTAGAGGACGGAAAACTCCTAAGACCTAGGCTAAACCTAACAAATGAATTTACCCAGGGGCTCAATCATCAGAATCTCCCAAGGAAATATCATTTGCCTGAGCCCCATTACCTTAACCTAGCACACACACAATGCAGAGCTCTCAATGCAGAGTGGAGGGAAGGTCACCACTCTCTCAAAAACCAAGTTTTCTTTGACCCTACAACGATGGTAAAAAAAAAAAAAAAAAAAAAAAAGGAAATCACTAAGATAGACAGAGTCCAGCAGTCTAGATGGCTACTTCACCCATCCCAACAGCTTTTTATCAATGCCTTCACTTCTGAATCTAGTTATCAGGGTTGAAATACACCTTTCTTCCTCTTAATTCCTGGCAACAAGTATACCTTCTTTCAGAGAAGAAATATTCTTGAGGTGTGAATTCACCAACTGACTTTCTTCCTATCGCTCAGCTGAAATAATAAATTGAGAGGAAAAAAGCACACCAGACTTAGTGGGTAGAGAGAAAGAAGTCATCAAAGTAATATATTCAATGACCATATTTTTTTTTTCTAAGCTTAATATTAAAAATATTAGGATGTTCTAAAAAGAATGCCTTTTCAGGATCAGATTCTAAGACAAAAATCTGAGGAAACTTTTTATAACAGGTCCAGGTTTAGTATATGAGAATCTGAAGATGTGTACAGAGTGCTTTGGTGTGACACATATATATGATTATGGCCAAATAGTCCCATCCTGTGAACTAAATTTTTCTTTGCTTTTTAATTTAATTTATTGGGGTAATATTGGTTAACAAATTATATAGGTTTCAAGTGTGTAATTCTTTTTAAATATATATATATATATATATATATATATATATATATATATATATATATATATATATTATTGGTTTTTTACAGAGAGGAAGAGAGAGGGATAGAGAGAAACATCAATGAGAGAGAATCATCAATCAGCTGCCTCTTGCACATCCCCTACTGGGTATGTGCCCGCAACCAAGGTACATGCACTTGACCTGAATCGAACTTGGGACCCTTCAGCCCACAGGCCAACACTCTATCCACTGAGCCAAACCAGTTTCGGCTCAAGTGTATAATTCTATTTATAATACATCATCTGTATATTGTATTGTGCTCACCACCACAAGTCAAATCCCCTTCCATCAACATTTATCCCCCTTTTATCCTCTTCCACCTCCTCTGAAGCCCTCTCTCTCTGGTAATCAATCACCTTATCTTCAAGTTTTTATTGTTTTGTTGTACTTTTTAAGAGAGAGGGGAAGGGAGAGAAAGAGAGAAAAACATCGATGTAAGAGCACAACATCGATCAGCTGACTCCTGTATGCCCCCCACTGGGGGATGGAGCCCATGTGCCCTTGACCAAACTGGAGACCTCCTAGTGATGGGATGAAGCTGATGGAGCTACACTGGGCACGGCTGTCGTTTTTTTTGTTGTTGTTGTTGTTTTTTTTAAATATATTTTATTGATTTTTTAGAGAGAGGAAGGGAGAGAGATAGAGAACCAGAAACGTCGATGAGAGAGAAACATAGACCAGCTGCCTCCTGCACACCCTCCACCGGGGATGTGCCCCTAACCAAGGTACATGCCCTTGCCCGGAATCGAACCCAGGACCCCCCAGTCCTCAGACCGATGCTCCACCACTGAGCCAAACCGGTTTTGGCAGGGCTGTCATTTTGTTTGTTGCTTAATCCCTTCAACTTTTTCAGTCATCCTAGCAAACCCCCTCCCCTCTGACAGCTTTAGGCTGTTCTCTTATCTCTGAGTCTGTTTCTATTTTGTTAGTTTATTTTGTTCATTCAATTCTGCCCATATGTGAACTTTTTTCACTTAACACAATGCTTTCCAGATTCATCCCTGCTGTTGCAAAGGGTAAGATTTTCTTCTTTTTCATGGCTGAGTAGTATTCCATTGTGTAAATGTACCATCGATTTTTAAAAAGTTTTTATTGTTGAGAGTATTACAGATGTCTCCCATTTCTCCCTACATTGCCCCCTCGACCTGGTTCCCGCCCCACCCCAGACCTTCACCACCCTATAGTCTGTGTCCTTAGGTAATGCATATATGCATGTTAAATTATTTGGTTGATCTCTTCCAGTCTTCTTCCCTCTGAGATTTGTCAATCTCTTCTGTTTCTACGCCTCTGACTTTATTTTCTTCACCAGTTTATTTTGTTTATTAGGTTCCTTCATTTCTTCTTCCTCTTCTAAAAGAATACCTTCAAGCCCAGCTGGCATGGCTCAGTGGTTGAGAGTCGATCTATGAACCAGGAGATCATGGTTCGATTCTCAGTCAGGGCATAGGCTTGGGTTGCAGGCTTGATCCCCAATGTGGGGCCTGCAAGAGGCAGTTGATCAATAATTCTCTCTCATCACTAATGTTTCCCTCTCTCTCTCTTCTTCTCCCTTCCTTTCTGAAATCAATAGAAATATATTTTTTAAAAAGGAAAGAAAATAAAAAGGAATACCCTTCAACATTTCAGACCCCATCTTTTGTCTGGCATCAGGGGTACTCATGTGATTAACTCCTTTAGCTTTTTCTTGTCTGTGAAGCTCTTTATATGACCTTCAATTCTAAATGATAGCTTTGCTGGGTAAAGTACTCTTGGTTGTAGGTCCTTGCTTTTCATCACTTTGAGTATTTCTTGCCACTCCCTTCTGGCCTACAAAGCTTCTGTTGAGAAATCAGCCGACAGTCATATGGGCCCTCCCTCGTATATAACTAACTGCTTTTCTCTTGCTGCTTCTAAGATTCTCTGTTTTTAATCTTTGGCATTTAATTATGATATTTATTGGTGTGGGCCTCTCTGTGCTTCCTACACTTGTAAGTTTGTTTCTTTCACCAGTAGGGGAAATTTTCTGTCATTAATTCTTCAAATAGGTTTCCGATAACTTGCTATCTCTGTTCTTCTTCTGGCACCTCTAATGCTTGAAGTTGTCCCAGAGGCTCCTTACACTATTTTCATATTTTTGGATTCTTTTTTTCTTTTAGCTCTTCTGATTGGGTGTTTTTTGCTTCCTTATATTCCAAATCATTTATTTGATTTCTGGCATCTTCCCCTCTGTTAAATCCATGTAATTATTCTTTATTACAGTTAAGTGTATGCTTTATTTCTGACTGTTCCTTTTTCATGTCTCTGAAGTTCTTACTATGCTCCTTAAAGCTCTCATTAAGATCCTTGAGCATCCTTATAACTATTGTTTTAAACTGTGGATCTAGCAGTTTGCTTGCTTCCATTTCATTTAGTTCTTTTTCTGGAGATTTCTTCTGTTCTCTCATTTGTGACATGTTTATTTGTCTCCGCATTTTGGCTGCTTCCCTGTGTTTGTTTCTGTGTATCAGATAGAATTGCTATGTCTCCTGGAATTGGCAGAGTGTCCTTGTGCAGTAGGTGTCATGTAGGCCCTAGTGGTTCAGCTTCCCCAGTCACCTGAGTTAGACACTCCAAGTGCACCCTGTGTGGGCTGTGTATACAGTCTTACTGTAGTTGAGCCTTGACTGCTTTGACTGCACAGGGAGGAAATGACCTCTAGGCCAATTGGCTGAGGAACAGTTGCAACTACAATGGAAGAGCTGCTGTGCAGGAAATACCCCATGGAGCAGAACTTGTTTCAGTGGAGCTTTGGGGCTCACTGAGTCTGCCTCTTGAATGTGTCACTTGTGGATGTGTAGGCTTGTAATCTGGTATGATCTGAAGCTGTCCACTGGGTGCACTGGCTCTGGTGCCTCCCAGGAGGAACAAAGTCAGCCACTGCCTTGGGCCACCCAGCAGGAGCTATAGAGCAATCTGCAGATGGCTGTGTTTGTGTTGGGCTTGGAAGTGCCCAGTAGAGGCCAACCTGTGAAGCAAGGTAGGCTGCTGCTAGTGCCAGAATAGGGCCTCTTATTGATAGGTTTGGGGCACACTGACCCCAGCTGCTGCTTGTTTGAGAGGTTTTTGGAAAGTCTAAAGCCTGAGCCAGGACAGTCCATTCATAGGAAAAGTCATTGCTAACAGCTTGGGTGGGGCTGCAAATGGGATGGGGTCTCAAGGAATCACCAGGGTGGAGTGAAGTGTAAGCCAGGTTGGTGGAGCCTCAGATAGGGCACCTGCAAATCAGCCCTATGACTGGGGATGTCTTGACATGGAAACAATGAATCCCATGAGTACCCCTGATGCCAGACAATCCAGTTCTTCCCCTTATATCCTTGGATTCCCCAAGCCACTGCCTCCACACTGGTGCTGAGAGAGAGTTAGTCCAAGTAAGTCCATGTACCAGCCCTTTAAGAGACTGCTGGGATTCCAGCAGTCTCGTCACTCAGTCACAAAAAAATAAATAAATCCCCCACTGGTCTTTACAGCCCAAAGTCAGGAGGACTTCTCTTCCTGGCCCTGAAACCCTGGGATGAGGCGTCTGGTGTGAAGTTGGAACTCGTTGCTCCTCACGGGAGGCCTCCACAATTGAGATATCCCTCCTGATTAAAAAAATGCCACACACGGGTGTCAGACTAGCCCATTCCACAACTCCACCCCTCCTATCAGTTCCAATGTGCTATGTTCTTTAATTCTCCAGCTGTAGCACTTCCATTTATCCAGATTTCAGGCAGTTCTGAATGATGGTTGTTCTGTGATTTAGTTGTAATACTGATGTGGTTGTGAGAGGCAGCAAGTACTGGAATTTATCTTGTAAATTGGTTCCACCAATTATCACTGATTTTTTATCCACTTATCTACTGATGAACACTTGGGCTGTTTCCAGATCTTAGTTAATGTAAATAATACTGCCATGAACACAGATTTTGAACATATATGTTTCATGATTGGTGTTTGAGGATTCTTAGGATATATTCCTGGAAGTGGGATTACTAGGTCAAATGGGAGTTAATTTTAATTTTTTGAGAACCTCCATACTGTTCTCCATAGTGGCTGCACCAGTCTGCATTCCCACCAGCAGTGCAACAGGGTTCTCTCTTCTCCACATCCTCACCAGTCCTTATTTGTTGATTTATAAATGACAACAATTCTGGCAAATGTAAGGTGATATCTCATTGTCATTGTAATTCTCTCTAATGATTAGTAACACTGGTTATTTTTTCATTTGTCAACTGGCCATCTGTAAGTCCTCTTTGGAGAATTGTCTATTTAAGTCCTTTGCCCACTTCTTAATTAGGTTGCTTGTATTCCTGGTGTTCAGTTGTATAAGTTCTTTATAAATTTTGAATACTAATCGCTTATCAGATATATCTTGGCGAATATGCTTTTCCATTCAGTATATTATCTTTTCATTTTGTTGATAGTTTCCTTTGCTGTGCAAAAACTTTTTATTTTGATGTCCCATTTGTTTATTTTTATTTTGTCTCCCTTGCCTGAAGCTATACTGTATACTGTATATCAGAAAAAGATATCGCTTCAAGAAATGTTCAAGGTTTTACTGCTTGCTTTCTTCTATGATTTTTTATGGTGAACTTAATTTTTCTAATCACAATATTCACTGTAAAACTTGCTTTATTACAAAGTATATGAAGATGTTCAATTTATTTCACTTTAAGTTGAGCAGCAGCTTAACTCTTCTTAAACATACTAGTGCCTGGCACAATTTGGGGGCTCAGCCCATCTGGTATCCAGGTGACCTAAAAACATGTCTGACACAGCTCAACATGACATGTGTTAAAGACTAGTCTTCAATGGCAATTGCTGAGCAACTCAAACCCCTTGGTGGTCAAGAGCTATGCTAATGTTCAAACACGAGACACCATAACCTATTTATTTTCTCTCCTTATTAACAATAGAATAACTGAGAAGAAATACATTGGCAAAAAGGTAGAAATGAACATGAAATAAAATTAAAATATTTTAAAGCTACTCATCTTTATGACACCTTAATACTTTCGACCAATAATAAACTCTTGAAGGAAACAGTATTCAAAATATGAACAGATTATGTAACCAAAAAAACACTCTGAATTCAACTACCCTTTCAAATACCACAGTTCTGATGCACTTCTAAAATAAAAGTATTTGAGATTGGTCGAAAGAAAAATGGAGAAAGAAAGATTAAAACACCATCTTAAAAAACACACAAGTTGTTCAGTTTTTTTAAAAGTTCATTTTTGTATCATATTAAATTGAATTATATAATAAATCAAGTACTAGTATAACAACAAAAGCACTTAGGAACAGGTTACTCAAACAAATATTTGTACATGAATGTTTAAACAGCATTATTCACAATATTTAAAAGATAGAAACGATCCAAATATACATCAATAAATGAATAAATGAAATGTACATCCAATGGAATATTATTCAGCTATAAAAAGGAATGAAGTACTGATAAGGGCTACAACATGATGAGCCTCAAAAGCAGTAAGTAAAAGAAGCCAGACATAAAATGTTGCATGTTGTATTATGCTATTATAAAATATCCAAAATAGAAAAATGCATAAAACAAAAACCAAATTGGCCAGCGGCTGGGAGGAGAAGGGAAAATAGAGTGGCTGCCTTCTAGGTTCAGGGTTTTCTTTTAGGGTGATAAAACTGTTTCAGAACTTGATATTGATGGTGGTTGCACAACACTGTGAATGTGCTAAATGACTCTGAATTAAAATGGCTAATTTTATGTATATGAATTTCACCTCAATTAAAATGAAAGTACTTATGGGGAGAAAGTAATCCATAAAACATTCCGTAACATATTAATAAATTTTATTATGCAAATCTAATTTGGGGAAAGATATTACATTTAATTGGAAAATAAAATATTCTAGAACCTAAAAAAATCCACAACCAGGAAATATGCAAGCAAACTGTTCAGCTGATAGGACTATTTTTCCCGGTGGAAATAGCCGTGAACTTTCTTACCCACAGACAGGAGGCGCCAGGAGACGGCGGGAGAGGCAAAGCAGGCGAACACGTCGTCGGTGCAGGAGAGGTGGGTGAGGTGCGGCAGCACCACGGACTGGCCCCGGCACTGGCCCCACATGTACACGTGCCCGCCCTGGGTCTTGGCAGCAGACGTGTGGGCGGAGTGGCAGGCTGCGATTTCCACTACCCTGAAAAAATTTTAAGAAAAATGGATGTGTCACTTATATATTACACAAAGTAAATGAAAAGTTCATGCTTGGAACACCTCAAAAAACAGCTCAAGATTGAGAAACATTAGCTATCATGTCCTGTAGACAAAACCAAAAGATCAGAGCAGAGTATAGCATTTCTCCTCTCCTGAGTGCCCCTAACCTCTCATCCTAACCTCTAAGATAAATAATGCATAACTATTGGAAAAAAAAAAAACTTGGGAAAAGGGACTAGAAGCTTGTTAGAGCCACGGAAGGAGGAATGCAGGAGGCCAAAGTGGTAAGGGGTTATAAATTTACTAGAGACCCAGTGCACAAATTCATGCACGGGTGGGGTCCCTCAGCCTGGCCAGCAATTGAGGTCTATCAGGGGGCTGGCAGGTGGGGGGAGGGGTTGCGGGACGTTGGCCGGTGGGGGAGGGGGGTCGGGGGGGCAGCCATAGGAGGTTGACTGACAGGACACACACACACACACACACAAGTTGGCCAGCCAGGGTGGGGAAGGGGCCACACAGGAGGGTTCGGAGCTGCGTGAAGTTGGCTGTGGGAGTGCACTGACCACCAGGGGCAGCTCCTGGATTGAGCATCTGTCCCCGGTGGACAATGTGCGTCATAGCAACTAATGGACTGGTTGTTCCAGTTTTTTGGTCTCAAGAGTCACTTAGGCTTTTATATGTATAGATTTATATATGGATATCAGATGGCCTAATCTATATATATAAACAGGGAATATGCTAATTAGCCGGACATCACAACCGCCAGGGAGGAGCAGCGTGCGCAGATGGGAGGGAGGGTACTGGGTGCTGCCCCCAGCGCCTGTGGCCCCGGGGAGGCTGGGGCTGGGCGCGGGCCAGAGAGGAGATACAACACCCAGGAGCACCTGCCCCACCCAGCGGACACAATGGCGGCTGGTGCTACTCCGGTCAGGTTGAGTCTCAGCCCCCTCGGGGTGCCTCCTCGCACAGCGGGAGGCAGGACACCTCCTTACATGCTGGGCCTCTAGTAGATTAATAATCCCTCACCAATGGCCACTGTGAAGTGACCTAAAGATCAGTTTCCACGGGAGAGGGTATCGATTCAATTATTTGATCAGACCTAACAAAACCAAAGTAAATGAGTAAAGTGGACCTGACAAAATGTGCTGACAGTTGTGGGGGCTTAAACTGTAGCAAAAAATAAAAAATACTGTCTTCGATATACCATTTCCTTTCAAATACAACTTTTTCTCTCATCCCTACCAGAGCTGACAGCACTCACTAGGCTGATAAGCACTGATCTAGGGGTCATGAACTCTGAACACACCAAGCCAAACGGACATCAAGCCAAAGTTACCACATTTCTCAGTGAGGCTCTTAGGCAGGGGCCCAGAATCAGAAATCGACATTCTAAAACTTAGCAAGGGAAACCTCACAATTTGGCTAAATAAGTATTAAGCATCTATTCCAGTAACACACATTACATCAAATCAATATTTGGACAGATAATAATGACCTTTCAAGGGCAGATTTTATTTCTTTAGATTTGTTTTAGTTGGCTCAACAAAAAGTCTGTACTTCAACCTCAAAATGGGTAACAGACCCTATTTTACTTCCCTACTAAATGGGCAACAAGAAGTCTGTAGGAATTATACTAGGATGTATTAATGGCTGTCAAATCAGGAGGTTATTTTAGAAAGCTCATAAGAATCATATCAACTTTATGCTCATTCTAGTTGGTACTAAAACTCTTTGTTCAAAATGAGAATGTTAATACACAAGAGTTACAAAGCCAAACACCACAGTTCCAGCACACACAGTCCCAAGTCCGCAATGCATACACAACCTCAAGACATACTACAGCCAAGTTACCTTTCCTTCTCCACCATGATGTGTGTTGGGTTTAGCAGGTTATTTTTATTGCCAGTTCCAAGCTGCCCATACGTGTTAGCTCCCCAGGCATAGAGCAAGCCCTCATCTGTTAGTGCTAGCGTATGTGCATAGCCGCAGACAATCTGCAAGTAAATTTAAATGATTACCATAGACAGAAAAACAGGAAGAACAGAGAAAACATCTACTTAAAGATTACAGCCAGCCGAAATCGGTTTGGCTCAGTGGATAGAGCATCAGCCTGCAGACTGAAAAGTCCCAGGTTCGATTCCGGTCAAGGGCATGTACCTTGTTTGCGGGCACATCCTCAGTAGAGGATGTGCAAGAGGCAGCTGATCGATGATTCTCTCTCATTGATGTTTCTAACTCTCTATCCCTCTCTCTTCCTCTCTGTAAAAAAAAAAAAAAAAAAAAAAAAAAAAAAAAAAAAAAAAAAAAAAAAAAAAAAATCAATAAAATATATTAAAAAAAAAAAATTACAGCCAGCTTCTACAGAATGCCAGTTGTGGAGCAACATTTTCTGAAACATTGAAACAGCATCAGGAAAGCCTACACCCGAGACTACTGAATCTTTCAATCCTTTTTTGTATTTGTCCATACTAATGTGCTACCACCATGGTGTTCCTTTTCATCACCAGAATTTAGGGAGTAAATGTGAAAGATTCAGGCACTGAGTATTATCCTAAAATATTTATTGAAGAGTAAGTTTCCAATATTCCTCCAAGTCAGAGCAGGGAAGCTAGATGGAGACCAGCACCTAAGAGTCCACCACACATACCTGGTTCACGCACACGCTGTGCAAAGCTGCCACTCGCAAAGGGGTCAGCTGATTGACATTGTTTCCCAAGCCCAGCTGACCATTGCCATTGTAACCCCAGCCATACACCTTGGGGAGAGAAAGGGAGAGAATGGGCTTTTAAATGTGATAATTAGAGGGAACAGATAAATCAGTTATACTTTTTTCACTTCCAACATCTATACTGTACTCTGTGTGATCCTACACTGATCTCCAAATAGATAGATTTTTTTTTTTTTGCGGGGGGGGGGGGGGGGGTGTAGGGGGATGAACAGAATTTTGCATCAGTTCCTACTCCATAACTTACTAGCTAGATAATCTTAGGCAAGTCTTTAATTTTTGTTTTACACATGAGGAAACTAAGTTTCACTAACAATTATTAAGCACCTACCTGTCAGGACCTTGTGAAAGGTACTAGAAACGCATCTTTAATCACAGTTTAACAGAGGGGATGAACTATGCAAATTTCTGTAGCCAAGTGGCAATTGCTATAATAGAGATATAATCTAGGCACTGTAGGAGCAGAGAGGAGAAAGGATTTGGCTACAGAAAGTGAAGGAAAGACTTTTGAGAAAGTGGAGATTTTGGAAGGGCTGAATGATGGAGGAGGGGGAAGCACTCAAGGTAGAGGAAACAGAATGTGTTGGAGGCCTGGCTGAACACATACGGGATAGAAGGAGAAAGGACTAGAAAAAAAGGTAAGGCCAAGGGGATAAAGTGTTAAAACATACCAGGGAAAGTAGAATGCTTCTATGGATCTTTCACTGAAATATTTTAAAAACAGAAATTAATATGCTTAAATTTTCATTTTGGAAAGATCATGCTCGCTGCAACATGAAGGGGAACTGGAGTGTGTATGAGAGGCAGGAAGATCAATCCTATATAATAAAAGGGTAATATGCAAATTGTCCCCTCTACCAGGAGTTCAACCAGAGTTCAACCAGGGGTGGGCCTGCCAAATGCCTGCAACCTCTCCCCCTGGCCATTCCCGCCCCCAATCAACCCCCAATCCCAGAGCAGAGCAGGGCCTGCCGGCTGGCCAACCTCCCTCTTTTTGGCAAACAGGTGAGCTCTGATGGCATTCCAAACCAATATTGCGACAGTGGGATCAAGAGAGCGGGAATGGATAGGAACGAAGTTAAAGAGAGAGATGTGACAGAACGTGCTGATCCCTTAGAACAGTGGTTCTCAACCTTTCTAATGCCTCGACCCTTTAATACAGTTCCTCATGTTATCGTGACCCCCAACCATAAAATTATTTTCGTTGCTACTTCATAACTGTAATTTTGCTACTGTTATGAATCACCATGTAAATATCTGTGTTTTCCGATGGTCTTAGGCCATCCTGCTAGCGGTTCTCAACCTGTGGGTCACGATATTTACATAATGATTCATAACAGTAGCAAAATTACAGTTATGAAGTAGCAACGAAAATAACTATGGTTCAAGTTATCCACGAGTGAGAGAGAAGCGGGTGTGTGTGGGTGTGACTGTATTAAAGGGTTGCAGCATTAGAACCACTGCCTTAGAGATCTGGAGTGAAAGGGGAGTCATCAGCTGAAAGTAGCAGGATTGGACATAGGTGTGACAGAACTGTTAGAAGTTTAGAATAGCCAGTGTGGGACACAGGAAGTACTATTGACCAGGAACAATAAAGGGTCTAGCTCAAATCAGAAACCACCCAGGAAGTGTGGTGGCACCACGCTCCATGGCAATGCAGGGCAAATAAGAATTGGCTGGGGCTTTTTTTTTTTTTTTCTCCCAGTCTTCACTCAAGGACATGCTTATTGATATTAGAGAGAGGAAAAGGGAAAAACATCAATGTGAGAGATAAACATTGATTGATTGCCTCCCTGTAGGCACCCTGACCAGGGACCAAACCCGTAACCTAGGCATATGCCCTGATCGGGAATCGAACCTGCACACTTTCAGTGAATGGGAAGATACACTAATCAACTGAGCCACACCAGCCAGGGCAGGTAGGGCTTTTCAGGGCGAAGTGACAGAGGGGAAAAGGGGACGTGGACTTTTGGGTACTAGCAACATATGGTTAAAAAGCACTTTCAATATTAGAAGTGCAACAGGTTTGAACTTCCTGGAGATAAATGTGGCAATAGACATTAAAAATTTTAATGACTTACCCAGAAATCTTATTTCTGAGAACTTATTCTATAGAAATCCTTGCCTAAGTGTACAAAGATACACACACACAATTAGAAACAACTGAAATGTCTATCACAGAGCTCTGGTCACCATACAAGGAACACTAAGCAGTCATCTGTATAATAAAAGCCCAGTGAGCATCACAGCGGAACGACCGGATGACCGGTCACTATGATGCACCTGCCGCAGGGGCGCCACCGCGGCTGCTGCCGAGCCCAGGGCCCCAGGGCCAGATGCGTGGCCATGAAGGTGGCCAGCATGAGATGAAGGCTCTGTAGGACGAATTCAATAAGCTGGGCACCGAGATGATTGTCATTGAGGCCGGCAGGTGAGGGCGACCCTCTCCTCACTGTGACCCTCCCCACATGGCGCCAGTATCAGGCAGTGGGCTTTGGCTTGATCCACGAGTGAGAGAGAAGCGGGTGTGTGTGTGTGGGGGGGGGGGTATTGGGAGGATGTTGGGCCACCTGCGGGTTCAGCTCCTTGGCTCTCCAAGTCCCAGCTCTAGTGACAGCATCCTGGCACGCCTGGAAGGCCAGGAAGGTGGTGTAAAGAAACCCTGTGGATCTGCCACCCGACCAGCAGCCCAGGACCGGCACTTCCAGAAATGGACCGGCTCAGAGCACACCGAGCTTGGGGGTGAGGCAGCCACCAGCCAGCTCCCGGTGGATCCCACCTCAAAGGAAACTCGGTCTTTGGTTCTTTAGTTCAGTTTATGCCAGCTAAAGAGGAATGGCTGGGCACATTTTAGGGGAGAATTAAGACTTTAAAACAGCCCTAACTGGTTGGCTCAGTGGATAGAGCATTGGCCTGCAGACTCAAGGGTCCCAGGTTCGATTCCGATTAAGGGCATGTACCTTGGTTGCGGGCACATACCCAGTACGGAGTGTGCAGGAGGCAGCTGATCGATGTTTCTAACTCTTTGTCCCTCTCCCTTCCTCTCTGTGAAAAATCAATAAAATACATTAAAAAAAAAAAAAAGACTCTAAAACAGTGTTCTGTTCTGGGAAGATTGCTACCTGGCTGTCTTAGGCCTAAATTCCAGGTGATTGTGGGACCTGGCTCACATCTTCCAACTGGCCTGTATTTGTCATAAGAGCCCAAAGAGAAGAAGGGGAACACATTTTTTATATGCGATGGATTTGACCAACAGACAAAGGCGAGTGCCGGCTATGTCTATTGTACGCACAGAGGCACCAGCTCTGAGCCCCCTGGCTAAAGAGAGCTCAGGGTCCCGGTGAGCCTTCTGGTAGTTTGTTTCCTTCTTGGGAAGCCTGGGGCCCATACTCAGCTCCCGCTCAGTGGGCCTCCTCCAGCCCCCTCCCCCTCAGCTCCAGCTCAGTGGACCTCCTCCAGCACCCCCAACCCTGATCAGGGGTGGGGCCAGCCAGGCCCGATCAGCCCCCATTGGGGCGGGCTGGACAGACCCCACCCATGCATGAATTTGTGCACTGGGCCTCCAGTTAGTGTATAAAGACCAGCTACAAATGGTCGAAAATAGATTCAGGTAAAACACATGTTGTTAAACAGGGAAGTTACAGAATAGCAGAGCAAAGTAGTAGGTATAATAATTCCATACTTTAAAAAGGTAATTATATTTACCTATATATAATTATTTATAGAAGAAAGTCCAAAAGGATATACATCAAGCTATTAACAAGATTAAAGATATTCACATTTTAATTTATATGTTTCATTTCATTTGTTTTCCTTTGTTAAAATAATCTCATAATAATAATCTTAAATTTAAATTTATTTTTAAAAAGGAAGTGAAGAATACTGGAATGGAAGATGTCATATGACTATCTCAAGAAATTCCAAAGTCGACCAAGTAATCAGGGTTGATTCCAAAAATACATTAACACACTCTATCACCCAAGGGGTGATTCCACATGTGTGTGCCAAAGACATATTTTTGGATAATTTTTGTGTACTAAGACATGCAGCGGTAGTGACAAGTCCATTTAAGTATTAGTTGCAACCAGAATAATTTTTCTAAAAATAACCATTCATTCAAAGATGACCATGAGAAAGGGTCACTAAAAGATGGGTTTTTTAAAGTAGTTAACAATAATCATGACAAAAAAAAATTCTGCTTTTGCAAGTTGCTTCTTCCTGTGAACAAACATTCCAGATATAGGAAGGTAGTTCTACAGAGAAATCATGCCCATTGGAGTCATCAACTGCCTATAAACATATCAGCTAACTTAAAAAAGTGCACAGTTGATTTTTCATTGGAAGAATGAGGTTTGTAAAATTTTAATTCGTTGATTAAATCGCTAACAAATATCTATAAACATTAAGCTACTTGGATCTTCCACAAAAATAAAATGTAGACACATTAGAATCTTTACTTACAGATAAATTTAAAAGTTCACACTGAGGCCCTGGCCAATGTGGTTCAGTTGGTTGGGGCATAGTCCTGTACACCAAAAGGTGGTGGGTTCGATTCCTGGTCAGGGCATATACTCGGGCTGTGGGTTTGATCCCTGGTTGGGGTGAGTGTGGAAGATAACCAATCAATATTTCTCTCTCTCACATTGAAGTTTCTCTCTCTCTCTCTCTCTCTCTCTCTCTCTCTCTCTCTCATTCTCTTCCCCCCTCACTCCCTCCTTCCCTCTCTTCCTTTCTTCCTCCTGCCCTCCCTCTTCCTCCCTTCTCCCTTTCTCTCTCTAAAATCAATTAAAACCAAAATTCACACTAAGGAGCATTCTCTGGTTACTCCTCAGTCAGTAATCAGTTAGCTATCAATGGGGTATCAAAACAAAGCACTATTGCTTCTACAATCTAATACATGCACCTTATGAAAAAGATATTTCACTAAAAGAAGGGGGGGGGGGGGAAGGGGATTGCAAAGATAGCTCACCTCACCAGTGTCAAGAACAGCCATGGATGAGGTCTGACCACAGGCAATGCCTACCACCCTCTTAATATGTAAACAATGTGTAACTTTTCGAGGAGTAGGTTGATTTGCTGTAGATCCTGATCCCACCTGGCCACAGTTGTTGTAGCCCCAAGCAAATACCTACACAAAAGAAGGGAAGGAAAGATAATGGTAAGGGTAAAAATCCTACAAACATACATAAATCCACTTAACAGAGTGCTTACAATGTGCTAATTGACTCTGTGTGCTTGACTGCGTTAATCTATTCAATCATTACAATAACCTGTACTATGACCCTGGGGTAGACACTATTACCATCCCCATTTTACACATGGAAATGGAAATGCAGAGAGGTTAGGTGATTTGCTCAAGGTTCCAGAGTTAGCAAGTAGAAGTGGAAGTTGAACCCAACACAGTCCAGCTGTGGTCTTCACCACTAAGCTGCATTGCCTCTACAATTATGGCAGCCATATACGTTTTTTAATCTGGCATCAATTAAAAATGAATTGATGCTACATAAGAATCGTGACATGAAAAAAATCTGCTTCACTCTTTGGCCATAACGTTTTTTCCCCCATGGAAACTTTCAAACCACACTATGCTTTTTCCCTGTCTAATACTGGACATTCATAACCTTTTCCAATGAATCAGGACCATCATTATTATAATTATCAATCATAGTTCCACATCATAACATAGTAATGACCAGAAGTACTATGGAGACATTTATCCCTACAGAAATGATACCAAGCTGTTAGTCTGTTCTTGGTAATAGTTCCTCTGCATCCTGCTTATTACTTTTGGCCTGTGATCTGCCATAACCTGAAACCAGCTTTCTAAGAAAGAGAGACATAAACAGATCTTTAAGCTAGTTAAAATCTAGTAACTAATATGAAAAAAACAAACCAAACCACATCACTTCAGGTTAATTAACAAAACATTCTATCAAACAGGAGTGTGATCAAAGAGGAGAATTAGGGCAAGGGGAATTCTGGCAGGAGAGACGATAAACTTCTACACTAGGGCAACATGTCCTGAAAATAGATTCACAGGAATATCTAATATAATCATGCAAATATTTCGCACAATTATTCAAAGTACCATATGCTTCAGGTAAAAATTACCAGGAATCTAAACTGTACAAATTAGTAAGTTCCAATTTCAACATTCTTCTGGCACGTCTCAAATATCCTAGTTCCCTTGCAATGCAGCTTTTATTTTGAAAACTAGAGGCCTGGTGCTTGGATTCATGCACCAGTGGGATCCCTCAGCCTGGCCTGTGCCCTTTCACTAATGGGACCCCTCAGGGGAAGCAGCAGTGTGCGAAGCAGCAGGTGGCTGGGAGGAAACTGGGAGCCATGCCACTCCCGCTCATCCCTGCCCTGCTGCACCTGCCTCTGTGCTGCCACGCAGGCAGGAGAAGCTCGCCCCTCAGCACCTGCACTCACCAGCCGTGAGCCCAGCATCTGGCGCCCCTCAGTCAGCTGAGCAGTGCTCCCGCTGTGGGAGCACAATGACCAACAGGGGGCAGCTCCTGTATTGAGCACCTGCCCCCTGGTGGTCAGGGTGCTTCATAGTGACCAGTCACACAGTCGTTCAATTGCTTAGGCTTTTATACATATAGATGGGAACCGTAGTTCTACTAACCAAGAAGCAGACTAGGAAACAGAGTATTCCAGGGCTTACTGCCTATATGCTAGCCTGGTTCCAGCCCATCCCAGCTATGAAAACTTAATCTCCCTGAGCTTCTTTGGTTTCTTCATGCATAACCCATCCTACATAGTAAACTGTAACACCATTGAAGAACTTTAAACAGGGAACAAAATGACCTGATTTCTGTTTTAGAAATCATGGGAGGTGGAGAAATAATACTGGATAGATAAACCAATAGAAAGCTGTGGAATAAGAGATCATGGTAGCAAGGCTTGACCTAAGGTTATGGATATGGAGAGGAACAAAATGATATCAGATTAGAAAGTAGAATAACAGGATGTGTAACCTTTAAGATAAGCATGGAATTTGTGGGGTAAACAAATAGTACAGTTCCTATTGGAATGTTGGTAAAGTTAACACTGTCATACACCTCTAATTTGTAGTCTTGGTAAACAGCATGAGACTCAACTGCTTTAAGATTGAAATCTACCATCATCAATGAGTGTTCCTGATCACACAATACAGAATGTGTTAGAAAAAGAGTATGTTCCTACAATGTGTGTAGCTACACACACAGGGCTACTATGTTCACACTATATGAAGTATAATATGGCCATTATATTTTTGGCACTTTCACAATAGTTAAAAGGTAGGAACAACCCAAATATCCATCGACAGATAAATAAACAAAATGTGGCATATAAATAAAATATTATTTCTCCTTAAGAAGGAAGGAAATTCTGACACATGCTACCACATAGATAAATCTTAAAAACATTTTGCTATGTCAAATAAGGTAGTTGCAAAAGGATAAATACTGTAGATGCCATTCATAGGAGGCATCTAGAGTAGTCAAATTCATAGATACAGAAAATAATTCCCAGGGGCTCAGGAAAGAGGAAATGGAGAGTTAGTGATTAATAGGTACAAAATTTCAGTTTTGCGAGATAAAAAGAGTTCTGTGGATGAACAGTGGTGATGGTTACACAACAATGTTAAGTGTAGTTAATGGCATTGAACTCTACACTTAACATGGTTAAGATATCAAATTTTATATTATGTGTATTATTTTACCACAATTTAAAAAATAAAGAATAAAAGCAAGGTACTTACCTCTCCATCAGCTGCCAAGGCCATTGAATGATGGGAGCCACAAGCTACTTCAACCACTTGTTTGATCAAGAGATTGGTACAGACTTGGATGGGAGCAATGCCTTGGTTGGTTGTCCCATTCCCAAGCTGGCTGTATCCATTGTGGCCCCAGGCGTAAACAACTCCATCTGTGTAAGATGGCCACACACACACATCAGCCCAAGAAGAAATGGCCTCCCTGTACTTTCCCCCAGATTTTGCACAACTCATCTCCAACCTCAATTTTTTCACATTGCCCCTTCTCCCTCCAAACTAACCACTGATAAGGGGTGGGGGAAAGAGAAAACAGGATAGACATACACAAAACTGTTAAAGAAAGGACTAAAATAGAAAGAAGATCAGCTTTGTGGTCAGGAGTCAGCTTATATGTAAAAACATTTGACCTTCTAACACACTGAATCATCTCAATAGTTTCTGTGTCAGGTACCAAGCAAAAAAGAAAACACAGGAAAAAAAAGTTCAATACTAATCTTTACCATTATTTTACCAAATACTAAGTTTCATGGAATTGTTGGGTGTATGTGTGTGTGTCACTCACAAAGTATAGAGGAAAAAGGTGTACTATTTACAAGAGTTAAGAGGTATACATTTTGTATAAACTGTATATAAAAATCACAGGCTTCTCTCAAGCAAACTAGTGGCGTAAAATCTGAACTTTTTTTTATGATTTTATCTTTTTGGGATTCTGATAGAGGTCACGTTTCTGTTATGCGTCCCTGTCTGCAAGTATCACTGTTCCATGCATTTCCTCCCACAGCATGATGAGTATCAAGAGCAGACATCCCAGAGTTACACACTTTCCTCATATCTTCCCATGGTAATAAAGCATCCTGACTTTTTAAGGACAATCTATGTCTGGCAACAACAAAATCCAAGAGAAACAGCAGAAATCCAAGTATCATTATCAGCTGCTGACTCACTGACCACAGTCCTCAAGCAATCAAAGACCGGCACTCATACTTAAGTAGGTTTCTGATTATCTACTCTAGAGGCACTATAACTTAACAAAGTCAGGGTTCTCTTCCAGTACAAGTCAGATCTAGAGAACATCTGACGTATGTCTCACAAATTTTTCCTTTGTTTAAAAATGCAACATAATGGTAATAAAATGCTTCAAGTTGCTTCCTAAAGTGAAACAAATTGATTTTAAAGTTCAATGGAAAGAACAAACAAGAAAAACCCATTTTAAAAAGAACCTACAAGATAGCTAGCTCCATTTGTCATTAAGCTATAAGAAGTGTCTAAAATTACAATACCAGGACATGAACAAACAGACCAACCAATAAAATGGAATTCAAAGTCTAGAAATAAACTAATTGTATATGGAAATAAAAGCTATGTCAGTGGGAGAAATAGACTTTTTACAAGTTGGACTGATAAATGGTAATTGGGCAGTCATACTGAAAACTTAAACTCATTCCTCACATCATGTACTATAACCTCCCAATAAATCATTTTTAAATGTACAAAAATAAAACCATATAAGAACTAGAAGGAAAAAATTAGTAAATTCCTCCATAACCAGAGAATAGGGAAAACTTTCCTGTAATACAAAATCCAGACACAATAAAAAGAGTGATAAATCTACCGTGTTTCCCCAAAAATAAGATATCCTCCGAAAATAAGACCTACTTACAGGTTTCCTTCTGAGTGAAATATAAGGCATCCCCCCGAAAATAAGCCCCCCCCCCCAGGCTAAACATGAGAGATTTGGTCCAGTGATTCTGAAAGAAATGAAGTCACAAGAAATTCACCAGGAAATTCAGGAATTGGATTGTTATGATGATGTTCCAGAAGATGATGACATGATTGTCATTGAATAAATGAGTAAATTCTTGATACTGTAGGATTCACAGTTTGTCTGGTTTGTGTTGACAACTACTGTACTATTGTACCATATACAGGTAATAAATTTCCTTTATTTTCATTTAACAATAAATGCGTACCGTATTCTTCTTCATGGAAAAATAAGACATCCCCTAAAAATAAGACCTAGGGCATCTTTGGGAGCAAAAATTAATATAAGACACTGTCTTATTTTCGGGGAAACAGGGTAGTTATATTTTTGAAAAAACTTTCCAAGGAAATAAATACTGTGAGCAAAGAAAAATGTTAATATTGGGAAAAATATTTGCAATTTCTATTAGTAAGTGATAATCTCTAATATAAAAAGAGCTTCAAAAAATACAAAAGAAAATAACCAAGAAAAATGATGAGTATCAACAGCAGATATCACAGAGTTACACACTTTTCTCATGTGATTCCCATGGTAATAAAAATGTCCTGACTTTTTAAGGACAATCTGACTGGCAACAACAATATCCAAGGACAATGTATGAGTTAAGAAGTGTACTTTTTGTATACATATATATACTACACTATAGTGTGTGTGTGTATACTTCATTGAAGTTTCACAATGAAAGAAATGTAAATGGACCTTAACTGTATGAAAAGATGCTCAACCCCACTCACAAGGTAAAAAATACAAATAACAGAAGACCAGACTCCACTAACCACGACTGGCCTACCCACTACCATGGCTGAATGCCCACTGAGCCAGTAACAGAGCCACACAGAGCTCCTGAGACAGCACCAGCCGCAGGAGACCAACTAGCTATGTAGTAGCAAGATTCCTCCAAATGGACCCATTCCATCCTGCAAAGAGCAGCCATTCACACTGTCAGGATCAACATCTAACCCAGATATGGGATTCCTGCACATAGGACCCCAGCCAGCATCACTATTTGAGGGCTTACAGAGTAATGCACTGATACAGGATCCCACAAAACATCTGATCAGACCAAGGGACTCACTTCGTAGCAGAAGAGGTGCAGCAGGGCTCACTGGTCCTATCATGCACTGCAGCATCCAAGAGCTGTCTGTGGAGACAGCCCGGACAAGCTGGCTTGGCACCCAGGTGACACAGGGCAGTGCTTTGGTGTTCACCTGCCCCAGAGGGACAGTAAGCAGAAACGTGCAGCCGCAATGGCCAGAATACAGCATGGTCAGGGGCTAGTACTCCTTAGAGATGAGAGTCTGGGTCTCACAATCAGGTGAGCCACCCAAGCCAGGTGTAGCCAAGTGTAAAGAAAATCCAGAAAAGGTTCTAGACTCGCAGGGGTGTCGAACTCAGTCAGAGAAGGGGCCAAAATCTAAAATCCAGCCTAAATCGCGGGCCGAATGGTTTACTGAACAGTCATAAACTGTCATTGTGATGGAAACGCAGCGGAGTGCAGTGATGACAGCGCGGTGCGGGCCACATTGCAAGGCCTGGCGGGATGGATTTGGCCCGCGGGCCTTGTGTTTGACACATGTGTTCTAGAGGGAAAAGGCGAGGAGAATCAGTTGTGGCTCAGAGACTAGCTGCAGTGCAGAGGCTATAATGTATCTCAGGAAAGATCTTTTTCCTCTTTTCCCCAGGAAAAGAGGCCCACCAGAATCCTGAAGGACTGGCAGCACATGGCAGAGACCTAGTGAACGCTGTGCTGCGGGCAGTCTGCAGCAGGGGACAGAGGGCTCCAGAGATGATCTATATGCTCAGATGTACTGTGAAGCCACACTGCTCTGGAGAAGAGTCTGGGCATATGTTAATAAGTATAAAAGAACCCCAGAAAAACAGTTGTATAAGAAAGGAGGTGGGCTCAGGTATAAATAATGCTTACAGAGTTCTAAGTAAACACTGAACACCGATTTCCCAAAATGGTGATATCACTATATTGAAACAATAAGCGGAGGGAGAAGAGGGAGGGGAAAGAGAGTTAAATTCTACCTGCCATTATAAACGTCAAAGGATAATGTCTAAAATGACAAGTTTGGAAATAGCAGCATAATTTAAAAATATGAGTTAAATAGCAAAAGAAACATCTGAGAGTTAAAAGTGGTTCCTTCTGAAAAGCGGTTTCTAAGAGTGAAGAGGGATAGGACATAGGTACCTGCTTTTTACGAAAAGCCATAGACTATTTGATGATTTCAAGTGTTAAATTGTTTTACTGTTTTTGTTACATTCTTTTAAAACTATATGATTGTCAACATACAGTACACACATATATAGATACATAATACACAGCATGTTTACTGTATATTGAGTAAAATGAATTATAATGATCAAAACAGAATTAAAAACAAAATGAAAAACAGGCCCATGAGAAAATCAGATATTTATATGTTTATTGTTTATCTTTTATTTTTTATAGCATTTTAAAAAATATATATTTTATTGACTTTGTACAGAGAGGAAGGGAGAGAGATAGAGAGTTAGAAACATCGATGAGAGTCATCGATCAGCTGCCTCTTGCACATCCCCTACTGGGGATATGCCCGCAACCAAGGTACATGCCCTTGACCGGAATCGAACCCGGGACCTTTCAGTCCCCAAGCCGGCGCTCTATCCATTGAGCCAAACCGGTTTCGGCTTTATTTTTATTTCGGAGAGGAAGGAAGAGGGAGAGAGATAGAAACATCAATGATGACAGAGAATCATTGATCGGCTGCCTCCTGCATGCCCCATACTGGGATTGCGCCCACAACCCAGGAATATGGCCTGACTGGGAATTAAACCCATGACCTCCTTCTCCTAGGCCAACATTCAACCACGGAGCCATGCTAGCCAGGCCTGTTTACTGTTTATTTACATCTACATCTCAACTGTAGCATTAAAGATAGTTAAAACTGTATGATCTGGATACTGAAAATAATTCAAAAGAAGAGTTATAATTTCCTACGGTCACCACTTTGATAGAAACCAAAAATTTGAATGTACATGTCTTAGTGTATTTTCTCTAAATAATTGCCTCAGGAATTTACGGTAAAAAATCAACCACTAGTTAAAACTGATATGCATTCGGAAAAAATTAAATCATTAGGTCACAATGGATGACAGGCTGAGCCAGTCAGCAAAGTTGTAGCTGCTTGAAAGAGCTAGTGTAATGCTAGAAAGACAGGATTACATAACACAGAAATGAGACAATCTCCTCATTATGCTCAACACATGATACTCTTACTACACCATCATGTTCAGATCTGGATCTCACAGCTTGAGAAAGACACAGACAAGAAGTGGACTCAGATATAAGTTAAAAGCAATTAAAAACCTCAATACCAAGAAAACTTTTGGCAACATCCAAGGAAGCTCCTAGTCTGGAGACAAAAAGGCAGGGAGCAAACTGTCTCCCAAATGCCACGCAACAGGATCACCGAACAAAAACCTGAGGTCCTCTGATAGAGAGGGAGAGAGGGAGAGAAGGGGAGAGAGGGGGATAGAGGGAGGAGAGAGAGGGGGGAGGGAGACAGGGGGAGACTGGGAGGGAGAGGGGGAGAGGGAGAGGAAGAGAGAGGGAGAGGGGGAGAGGGGGAGAGAGGGAGAGAGGGGGAGAGAGGGGGATAGAGGGAGGAGAGAGAGGGGGGAGGGAGACAGGGGGAGACAGGGAGGGAGAGGGGGAGAGAGGGAGAGAACTTATGCTAGTGTGCCTAAAATATAAAAGGAAGAACTTAAATGATAAATAACTGATTTTCAGAGAGTTCTGTTTGCCCACAGTAGAGATAAATGACCAAAGACTAATGAATAGTCTCCTTCTTTAGTGACCTTGGAGAGGCAGAGAGAAAGGGAGAGTACTCTACCTCACATTTTTCCCATAAGGCATCCATAGTAATACCAGGGAATAAATTAATATTTATTGAATTCAAGGTTCAGGAATTACACAAAGAAAGGAAAACTAAGTTTATCTTTATTTACAAAAATATACCAAGTAAAACCTTAAAGTTGCCTTATTACCACAAATCCACTGAAAAATTAGGCTACAAGGACCACTTCGTTGCTATAACTAATCTTCCACAACTGCATATAAGTAGCCTAAAACCTCAGAAGTTTGCTTAATTTGCAAGTCATACCTCAGAAGTTTGCTTAATTTGCAAGTCATCCGGTGGCTGTTGCAGTTAGCCTGAAGTGTTTAATTTTTACCACTCAGAAAGTAATAAACAAACCATGAGAAATTATTTGATCCAGCCCTACCTAGTTTTAGCTTAAAATTAACTGCTCCATTTTTCACAAACTGAAAAGCTAGACTTATTCCCTCTTTACCTTCAGTGCTGAGGAGAACATGTGGTCCACTGCCATAACTAAGGCTTTTAATCTTCTTTCCACATAAGGCTTCTAGTTTTTTGGGCGTAAGTGTACTCTGGTTATCTCCAGTTCCTAGACAGTTACTATAGTTCAGTCCAAATACAAAGACCTGGAAAACAAATGGTTCTGTTTGACATGTTTGGCCTGAAGTTACACAAAGGCTCCCTTCTTCACCCTGGAAGTGAGACCCTCAAGTTCAGGTTGACAGCTCGGTGGGTGGGAAGATACTGAAAAAGTTGTTAAGAAAAAGTCAACCTCTGCTGATGTTTAGGATATTGGCCACACTATGAAACTCAAAGAGTAGTAGGGGTGGAGTGGTATTAAATCAAGAAACTGAAAAAAAGGCAAATCACATCCAAGATAGCCTTCTTGAATTTCAGCTTCTCTTATTCCCGACCTTTCTCCATCTTTAAACTGCATGCTTTAAAGCTCAATCCCAGCCAAAACCGGTGTGGCTCAGTGGATAGAGCGTCAGCCTGCGGACTGAAGGGTCCCAGGTTCGATTCCGGTCAAGAGCATGTACCTTGGTTGCGGGCACATCCCCAGTAGGGGATGTGCAGGAGGCAGCTGATCGATGATTCTCTCTCATCAATGTTTCTGGCTCTCTATCCCTCTCTCTTCCTCTCTGTAAAAAAATCAATAAAATGTATTTTTTTTTAAATAAAAAAAAATAAAGCCGAATCACAAAATAAGCCCTAAAATTAAACTCTGGATATTAAGGGATGCTTTCTTACCTCATCATCTTCAGTAACGTACAGTGCTTCATTGGCTGAGGTGCCAAAGACACAGGCCTTCCGAATAGATGCAATTTCCTGAGATGAGAGCAGAGTAAAGATTGGCCACTTTCCTACATCCACCATGACTCTGGCTTCAAGCAATTCCTACAAATATGCTGGCATCTCTGCTGTAACAAACAAAAAGGATTTAAAAAAAAAAAAAAAGTTAAACCACTACACTAATTTTTAAAAGACACTGTTAATGGAAGAAAACAAAAGCTAGTTCCAGAATAAACTGCTCCCCAACCTTTGGTTAAACAGATTGCTCGCTTACCCACAGCAACATGTGTAACCCTTCCTCCACCTTCAGACCTGGGCCTTTTCCTATAAGGGGAGGGAAACTTGCTAGAACCAGTTGACTTATACAAGTCAGTGCTAATCTGTTACATACTACTACATGCTCATATAATAGAGGGAAGACATGTAAACTGGATGAAACCAGGGTTTCTTATCAGGTATATTTTCTCCAGGAGAATGAGGGTCATAGTGATGTGTGTGTGTGTGTGTGTGTGTGTGTGTGTGTGTGTGAGAGAGAGAAAGAGAGAGAGAGAGAGAGAGAGAGGGAGAGAGAGAGAGGGAATGAGAATCATTATCTCTACCTCCCCACCCTGCCACTATCTCTGCCAGAATGCACTAAAAGACCCCACTCCTGAGGACAATGGGGGGGTGTAAGGGCAGGGGGTGTGTGGGAACCGGGTGGAAGGGAACTGTGGGAAGGAAAGGAGAAACAATTGTAACAATCTGAGCAATAAAGATTTAAAAAAAAGACCCCACCCCTTGTAGAATATCACTGCCACACTGAGCCACTATTAATAGTGGGAACGGGACACCCCTCACAGGGTTTAGAGTGGCAAAAATATTAAGAAGCACTAGCTTAAAATTTAGTGGATAAACCATAAAATAAAGCAGTATGTTCTGGTCCTAATTTATATGACCACATTTCCTACATTATATACAGACCGTATTTCATTTCGCATTGAGAAACATTATTTGAACACAGATAAGGCAATTTGCCCTAATTTGGGTGCTAGAAGTGATGACTATAACCTTTATACAAGTAGCAATTAGCTTAAAAATACCCAATCCCAATAAAGTAGAGAGATGTATAAATTCCCCTAAAACTAAAGTTGATCTATTTAAGGAATTTTACACGAAGAATCCTGGTCATGGCTCCAATTCTTTTAAGGTTAAAAAGTAATTCTACAAATTGCAGAGGGCTGCATGAGCACAAAACCTATCATACCAAGTGAATTTCCATTTTGGCTCTCACCTCTGGACACCAAAATAGAAGCAAACAGTTGATAAATACACCCACAGTTTCCTACTCACTCTGTTCTGAGACCTCTAAATATAGCCAAGAGAGGCAGGCCCAAGACCAAGGTCTTTTTCTGGCTCCAGCACCTATGAAGCGAGCCTCAGAGCTTGAGCATGCTCAGCCAAGGCCTGTTTCCACCTTCCAGAGGGATTTTTTCCATCAGCACCAATTTGGATGACAAGGATCGGGTTCCAGTGATGCCTCAAGTATCACATCACACAGTCAATAAACTTTAAACACCATTATTACCTGCCACTGCACAGCCAGATTCCTGGAATGACATCTGAATGTTCTGAAAATTGTGCACCCAAGGGTGGGTGTGTGTATGTGTGTGTGTGTGTGTGTGTGTGCGCGACACACTTGCATATGTGTGTATGTTGATGGGAAGAGGTAAAGGGTTTGGGAAAGGGTAAAAACTAATATAAACATGTTAAAAATGTTTTGTTTCAAGTTGTACAAAACAATATAGTAAAGTAAATCTCCCTATCCTCCCTTTCTAGACCCTCTCCTCAAAGGCAACCACTGTTAGTAGCTGTTTTAATTCACTCCAGAGATAGTGTATACTTACATGAACATCATATGTAAGTATGTGTGGAAGCTTTCCCATCCTACTTAACAGCACATCTTGTAGATCATTCTGTAGAGTTACTGCACTTTTCAATGGTACTATAGAGCATAACAATTTACCCGTTTCCACTGAGACATTTAAGTCACTTGCACTCTTTGCTAACATGAACAATACTGCAATTATTGTTTGCACATAGTATTGAATATACATGTCTTTTTGTACATAAATTCCTAACAGTCTCCTAAAAATGCACTTGCCAGTTCCAAATTCAATAGTCAGTTTGCCTTTAATAGCTATTTCAAATGGTCCTCTACTGAAGTATATAGTACCAATATCTATTAATATAAAGAGGTAATATGCAAATTAGGCCACAATGCTGTAACAGTTATGACCAGTCAGGAGGAGGCTGCACGCACAGGTGAGGCCCAAAGCGGAGACAGAGACCGTGGGGGGGGGGGGGGGGGGGAGACACGGCACGGCGCCTGCCCAAGCTGCTGAGCCACGGTGGCAGTGTGGGCAGCCCCGGAGTGCAGCCAGGCAGGGGGAAGGGGAGCCTGGGCAGCGTCAGGCCTGGGCCTGCCATGGCCGACACTGCGGAAGTCAGGCCCGGGTCCCAGCTGCCACAGCGGCACAGGCCTGGGTCCACAGCGGCCTGCGTAGGCAGAAGACAGACCACTGAGGGGCTTACATACCATGGCAGGGAGCTTAGCTTTTATTCCACAGGAGGAGGAAAAGTGAAGAATGTCAAGCATGGGAGCATCCTGGTCTTGCTTTTAGGTTAAGTGAACCATTCCGATGGCCATGGGAAGGCTCTATTTAGACAGCTGCAGTGTTTGGGGGCCCAAGAAAAAGAGAGACTGATGTGGGGAACGAGGACTAGACAGAGGCAGTGGATCAGAGACATACTTATGAGGAAACCGGACGGAACTATTTGGCTGATTACACAGGATGAAAGCAAACAAAGCAAATGGAATTAGTTCAGGTTTTCCAGTTTGGGCAACTTCGTTGAATAGGTGATTCCAATAACTGGGAGAAGGTATCAAGGAAAAGGAACAGTGGAAGGGAGCTTGCTTAGTTCAGCAACAGCCAAACAATCAGGACAGAAGACAGACTTAGGCTCTTTCTTTGCTGCAGTATTTGTTTTTCTGCCTTCAGTCACCACCATATAGAGCTAATGTGCCATCTCTTCTCTTAATCTAGGATTTTAATCTATCTACTACATATTCCTATCACCTAAATTAGCTTTCCTGCATGATCCCTTAAAAACTCTTATCAAAATCATTCAATGGCCTGTGAGTACGGATACTTTCAAGATGTGGAAACATTATGAGCCTATATAGATTGATAAAGAGATATTGGGTGCTCAATTTTTAACAATAAAAATCAGATACTGAATGTGGCTATGCCAGAGGTATAATTTTAATGAGACAATGTCTCTTTACTGAAGAGTCCCACTTCAAAAGAGATCCTCTCAAATAATACAGTGCATAACACTCACCTGGGTTGCCTATTAAAATGTAGGACCACACCCTGAAAGACACTCCTTCTAGAGCTCAATTTGGTGGATAAATCTCCCTCCAAGTAAAGCAATCTTATATAATAACAGTGCAATATGCAAGTCAACCGAATGGTGGAACAACTGGTCAGTGGGGGGTGGGGCTGGTGAGCAGGTGTTGCCAGGCCAGCCAGGGCACATGCCAGCAGGCAGAGGGAGGGGACAGTGATGGGTGGGGTAGGGCGGGAACCAGTGGTGGCAGAGTGATGGGTGCTGACACCATCCCCTGATCGCCTACCTGGTTGCCTCCCACAGAGACAGGCCACAGGCGGCAGCAGCAGTGGGGTGATTTGGGGCAGGGCCTCCAGCACCATCCCCAGAGAGGCCTGCTGGGGTTTCCTTCTGCAGAGGGAGGCCACCAGTGGCCATGGAGCAACTGGGGGTGGGGCCAGCCACTAGCTGCCCATGCCATCCCGATCAGCCCACTGGTCACCTCCCACATAGGAAGGCCAGTGTGTGGCTCAGGCCCGCTCCCCACTCCCCTAAGCCATCAGTAGGACATCCCCCGAGGGCTCCCAGACTGTGAGAGGGGGCAGGCTAAGCTGAGGGACCCTCTGCCCAGTGCACAGATTTCATGCACCGGGCCTCTAGTACACATGTGTCAAACACAAGGCCCGCGGGCCAAATCCGTCCCGCCAGGCCTTGCAATGTGGCCCGCACCGCGCTGTCATCACTGTACTCCGCTGCGTTTCCATCACAATGACAGTTTATGACTGTTCAGTAAACCATTCGGCCCGCAATTTAGGCTGGATTTTAGATTTTGGCCCCTTCTCTGATTGAGTTCGACACCCCTACTCTAGTATAAGATAACCATCAATGTGTGACAGCAACTGTTTACCTACACCCTACTACACAGTGGGTTATCATGATGTCTCAGTTTTATTTAAACTTGAATTCCTCTTATGATGAGTGAAGTAGGGCATCATTTTTAGAAATAATCACAATTATACCAACAGTAACAAATGACATTTCCTGAGCACTCTGCTCCAAGCACTATTCTAAATAGTTCACATTTATTAATTCATTTAATCTTTACTTCAGAGACAAGGACACCAAGGCAAAGAGATACTAAGAATTTGCTCAAAGTACTAAGTGTCAAAGTGAGACCCTGAGCCATGCAGTCCAGAGTGAGCATGTGCATTCTTCACCTCTCAGTCTCATATGCTTATGGGCTCACATGAAGTCCCTATTTTTTCTACTAAACTGTTGTTCTTTTCTTTGTTCTCCATTTATAAGTGTTCACTGTATAAGAAGATTGTCTTAAATGTTTTTAGAAGTAACAAAAAGATGCCTGCCTCCATGGACTTTGTGCCTCATACAAAACATACAAGGCTTCACAAGAAGCAAAGCAGTGTAGACATCTATAAGGTAGAAAAATTCCAAGAAAATCCAAAAGCATATTTTCCTAGAATATAAACCATGTCAAAGTTTAAAGATGGCTCAGTAGTTGAATGTCAACCTATGAATCAGGAGATCACTGTTGGATTCCTGGTCAGAGCCTATGCCCTGGTTTTGGGCTATATCCTCAATAGGTGTTGTGCAGGAGGCAGCTGATCAGTGATTCTCTCTCATCAGTGATGTTTCTATGTCTCACTTTCCCTTCTTCTCTCTGATATCAATAAAAACATATATATTTTTTTAAAGTTAGTGTTTTATGTAATACTAGAGATCCAGTGCATGAAGTTCATGCAC